TATATGTCTAATTAAGTAGTCAGACCCTCCAGCATGCCATGACATACTCACGGCCGACTCCCAGCCATGTTTTGTGCCTGTGGCTTCGTCTGGACGGGTTGGTTTTATACTGCAATCTATAAGATATTGTTTTCCCTTCAAGCTCGACGCCCCACTGTCAACGTCGTGGAAGAGTCGAGGGATAATTCACAACATGTTCAATGGCACCCACTGGACTGTTTTTGTGGGAAACTAGCAAGTGGTTGACTTTTAGACAGAGGTGGAAAATATCGGACAATGTTCATTTGTGTGAAGAGGTTCAACTGGGAATTCCCATGCACAATATTTGTCACACATTTATGAGCAATACAATATGTGATACTGTGACAAAAAGGATAAAGTCAAGAGGTTCTTTTTTTAAAGTTCTCTGCGCTATTTTGCACGTTTTGTAGGAATTAGCCATTGAGTTTGGCATGTGTGTGTGTGTGTGTGTGTGTGTGTGTGTCAGCTCACACGTGTTTCCACGGCTCGGTGTGTCTGGACGACACACTTAGTCCTGCTGTCTGTCCCTTCCACCCCTCCTGACTGAGTCACGACCTCAAAGCTCTCATCAAAAAGGAGGTCAAGAGGTTAAACTCCACCAACCAGCAGGTCAACAACCTCTTTACCCCCCCCCCCCCCCCCCCCCCATCCCTTTGTTCTACACGCCATTTCAAGAAAATTTGGATTTTCCTAGAATTCCCACAGAAAGATCTTTCTACCCCCCCGCTTTCCTTGAGTTCTATTGTTCCCACAGGGGCCTAAAAAAGGATGTTATTCCCATAAATGGGTAATGCAGTGGTTATTAAACTAAGGGGGTTTAACTTTGATTTGGCTGATTGAGGTACAAATAATGTAATACTTCACAAAAAACTGAAACAAAAATCCAGCAGCCAGGTTTTGGAAATCCCACGAATCATCCCACGACCCGTTAGCTTCACCTCTAATAATGTCTTATATAATGTATGTATGTTTTGTTAATACTGACTTTTTCTTGTGGTGGAGTATTTCTACATGCTGATATTGGCACTTTAATAAGTACTTCATCCAAAACTAACTGTCCAGTTTTAGCAAGAATTAATGGTATGAGATCAATAAGCTGCTAGTTAATCTGTAAAGATTAACTAGCATGATGCTACAGGTGTTTTTATGAGAAACCACTGCGGCCTGCGAGGACACACCACGGCAATCAGAGGGATCAAAGGTCAAGCAACTTTGGATTTTTAAAGGCCATCAAAGAGAGTCACACAGAGCGAAACACACGCATTCTAATTCAAAAGGTCAATTGTATGCGTGGTGGCGAGGTGGTGAATTAAGGCGGAAGTGACCATTGTCCGACTGCCCCGAGGTCAGATCTCTTCATGGCAAACTCATTTTTAACCTTTAACATGTGGAGGATTGTTAATCAATGAGGGGTGTAAGAGCTTTGTTTTTCTACCTTAATATAAACATGTTCTCAGCATTATGAGGATTAATGCAAAGAACAGCTCATGCTGTCTGCCTGGTGCTCTTTTTATTTCTCTGTCAAACCATAAACCTTCTGTCAGTTGGCACCTTTCGATAAAGGTATTTAAACAATAAATATGGTTCAGACATAAACATCTGTACATTAACTTTGGCAAAGTTATCATTTAAATCATACTTAATAAGAGAAGATTATTCAGTCTTTTCTTAGTCTTTTTTACTTTTCACAAATAAGTCGAAAAGTCAAAATTTATTTACCATTTTTTAGAAATAAAGAAGCACTGTTGTGACTTAGCACTTTGTGTTTCTCATTATGTGATTTGATTTGCCTAAATTAAACAGGAATCTATTATCATCCATTTACGCCTAACTATACTGTATCGTAAAACTGAAGAAAACTGTTACTTTGACAGATGTACAATGTGTACAAGTTATACCGGTATTTTGGTTTGTATCAAACATGTGAGGTGCAGTTCCAATTCCCATCGAAATTACATAACAGATTACATCTCCACAAATGTCATGAAACGGCATGAGTATTACTTCAATATCTAATGAACTTGTGCTTAGAGATGAAAAATCAATTGATTTGTATAAATTACCATAACGCTGGTCAGAAAATTACCATTTATGTTCACAGGTTTTTTTTCTACAAAAAAAATACAGAAAGTCCTGTAACTCTGAATATGCTGCATCCCAATAAAGTTGTGAATGAAATTTGCCCTTTTGAGGGATTTGAGGAATGAGGACATGAGACGGTCATCTGAAGTGACCACTCAGATCGGTTTCCTCCCCGGGGAGTCTTCTGTGGGTTTCACCACAGGATCCTTTCACACGCATTTTGTATTCATCCCCTCATCACGCAGACGAGGATTTGCCGTTGAACTTGAACTCAGTTCCTTCACACCGCCTGATTTCACGGTGGCGGCCTCGAGCCTCCTCTCGCGCCTCCCCTGAAATACCCCCCCTCCGCCCCCCATGCTTGTCTTTGTTAAGCTGTCTTCCTTGACTTTCCGCATCCCCCGTCTGGCCCTCTGCAACCTCTCTTCCATTTCTGCCCCATGCCCTCCCTCGCAGCCATTCTTCACTCCTGGGTTGGGGGGCTCGGGGAGACGGCCCACTGGGACTCGCAATGCAGAATGCTAATCAGGCCCTCGGCGGCACTTCCCACGATTTTCCTCCCAGACGTGAGCTTTTGTTTTGCCATTGATTCCATTATAATCGGACGGTTCCCGTAACTTTCCTGCCGTCTGGAGGCCGGTCTGCGGCGCTGACTGCAGCAGAGGGCCCACCTGTCATGTGGCCCTTCTCACATTCAGGCAGGATCTTTTTTTTTGTTTTTTGTAAAACAAAAGAAATGACCACGTTTGAAAGATCTACAGTGTGACTTTTATTTACAAGAATTTACCCAATTTAATGCACTGCTGGACAAAAAGCTTCCAAATCAAAATTTTCCACATGCTGTTTCTTGCGACTTGTTCCCATTCATCAGTTTAACCGTTTATTTATTCAGGGTACAGGAGATTAGTTTAGCATACATACTCTTTTAACACTTAAGAACAGCTGATACTAAATTAAACTAACAGTAGAGTCAGAGTTTGTGTCAGTGCGTAGAAAATGATTGAAAATGGTCTTTAAGTCGCAGAAGTGTATAGGTGTTTTGATTTTTTGGGTGACATAACAGATTATTGCATGAGGCTTCAGCATTTACAGCAAATGATCTCCTGCGAAGGTTCGTAAATGGCTGTATGTATATTTCAAGGACATTCTGCGTGTCATGATAATGAATGTCTTTTTTTGTGCCGTTGGCTGCAAATAACGTCACTCATCTATAGCAAATTGTAAATTGGCTTATTTGAGGAAATTGCACTTTCTTGTTTCTTGTTCTCCTGAGTTTGTACCCTATGGTTGAATGCACTTATTGTACGTCGCTTTGGATAAAAGCGTCCGCTAAATGACATGTAATGTAATGTAATAAAATACGTTTAGGCCACAAAACTACTTAAGAAAACATCATGGCGTGGCTGATAATAGGTACAGTACCAGTCAAAAGATTGGACACATCGCAATTATACTGTACGTACGGAGGACTCATCTCAACAATCACTTAACTTCAAAATAACTGGACAACACTTTGGGAAAGTAACCTCCATTCCCGTTCTCTTTCTGTCCATACAGTGAGTAGAAGGAGATTGCTTTAACAAAAGCTCAAAAGAGACCAATATACTCAAGAACTTGAGCACTCGTGAGTTCAGCCATCAGCTTGCCTCTCCAGATGTTTCCAGCTGCTTGATGCAGCGCGGCAGCAGCTCGATCCACTGGCCTGCGTCTCCTTCAGAGCAGCTGTGCCACGCTGTCCCAGACGCAACACACCATCCAGATGTGACTGCGTGAGTGTACAGCGCGTGTAAACATTGATCAGTGATTGTGTTTAGTGTTCGCATGAACATTTGGTTCTCTGTTCACAGCCGGTGCGTTTTTAATAATGAGTGTGTAATAATAACGTAGAGCCCAATAAAGGCGGCTCACATTCAAACACTCTTTAAAATAGTCCAATGCAATTGGATAATGTGACGTCTGACTGCGAGCATCATCATCACCTGTATTCATCATCACATACAACACTGGTTGGATTTGAACAGATTTTGGGGCATGATGCATCATCGTTATCTTGTATTATCACACAATAATGTTTTTTCCCACACCACTCTAATTTTGGGTTAAAAATTTGCGTAGATTAAACATGAGGCTGCAGTTTCAGACTTGGTATTAAGAGGGTTGGAGGAAAGTATTTGTCTTCATTCTATCACTGATGTGCCTCAAGCTTTCATGTGGCTGACAGTGACGGTACAGGATGAGAGGAAGTGTGTATCCGACCGTCTAATTCATAAAGAAATGATAGAATAACAGAAATGGCAAAAGGATCGATGGTAATGTTTGCAAACACAGCCCCAAAGATAAGCGTGCTACATTAGGAAATACTTTTGTCAGGAACTTAATTTCACTATAATCCTTATATATTTGTTCTTTCTATGTTTTTATATATATAATCCGGCTAATCTACATCTATAAATGCAACATCATATAGGACAATTAGCTCTTATTTTGTATCTTCTGTGTCAAAGTGGAATATGTGGTTAATGTTTCAATTGCTACTAATATAAATATGGTTTAAGGATCTTATTGAGTACTTTCTTTATTATCTGTCTGATACAAAATCAATTGAACAATTAAAATTTCCCATACCTATTGAAATAAAATGGATTCATATGCATTTGCATAGCTAACTTGCAAAATGTGCTTTGCTTCTTTTTGTTATATCTAAGATCAAAATAGATGCAAAGTTGACTGTAGAAGAAACCAAATGCATTTTTGTAAATTTGAACGTAATGGTCCAACATATTCATGAAATAATAATGATGTCATGTTTGAGTCTACATCCTTTAAATTATCACATATCATAAATATTATCATATAATACACAAACTTAGACTTAAAATACACACACAAATTCATTGTCTCATTCAAAAAGTGAATACTTTTATTGTTTCAAATAAACTGCAGGTGAAACTGTTGCATAGTACAGATTTGGAGCACATTAACAGCAGCTGGTGTGTCATCCATAGTGCATTATAATATAATCAATTGTTCCCTCTGAATAGTCTTCAAACTGCATAAAATCGATTGCACATATCCACAAGTTATCCACAATGGATCAAAACAGAATCCCATTCATTCACTAATATTACATTAAACGAGGAACTGACTTAACAAATTAAATGTGTAAATAAATCTACTTTTGCATTTACTGACTAAATCAAAACAGAATTAACTGTTTCTCATTGAACCTCCAGATAAACACATTTGTTATTGCACTTGTGCTCATATAGTGCATATTAGCATCAAGATTCTCTCACACAAGCTGAACATTGCTAATGTGAAAACTTAACAAAACAATTACTGTGCAAACACTTTAACAAAGAGTGCAAAACAACATTTTGCATAGAGGAAAGAAATTAACATAATGTAGTTTTGATTGCACAAAAACGCTTCTTGCAGGGATAATAGTGCTATTGATTAAATGTGTACACTAAAAATTTAAATATATATATTTGCTTTAAAAAACAAAGCCTTGAAAAGGGCACAACAAACACTAATATGAGATGGTTAAATGTAAAAAAAAAGTCAAATTAAGGATGATTTTTATACAATTTATGGTTGATGGATCAATTCCAAGAGACTATTTTGACATCGCAAACAGAAAAAAAATTGTAAACCAGTCACATTGACTGTGAAACATTACATTGAGACATCAAGAATTTTACCTGATAAAAATGTCCACATCTTCTTGCTCATTCAAATAATTACAATACAACACAGTTTAAATGCTATGATTTAAGATCTAAGATAAGATTCTCTAAAGAATAATACATTGCGAAACAAGTTCAGAACCCCACAGCAACTATTTTATCATCATCTGATCTAAAATTAGTTTGAACTTTAGATGATTGAGAGTGTGTTTGAGAGAGAATGATCTATGCTCTGCCATACATGAAAATGTAGTACAGATGTTTCCTGAGCAGCTGTGCAGAGCAGCACATGAGAAAACCCTCCAGCAACACACCCACACTGATCACCGTAATTCACCGCAATTTATTCGTCCACTGGACGGTGTGTTTCCTTGTGTATATTAGTGGTTAAAGATGTCCTGTCTAAGACGAACATCACTGGCCTCAAAGTCACAGTCCAAAAGAGCAAAGAGGCAAAGATCCGATGATTTCCAACTTCGGACCAATTAGGAACCTTAAACGAGAAGACAGAGTTAAAGTTAAAGACAGTCCTTTTATTGACCACATTTATCTACAGTGTTTTACACTTTGCATCAAGACAAAACTCAAAATGTGCAGCAATGCAAAAATACAGTCAACGTTTTTTTTCATTTATGACCTAACAACATGTACAGTCCAAAGTTTGGACCGGTGCTTTATCCATGTAGCGATATTTTTATCCTCTATTTTATTCATATTGTGCTGAACCAGCTGGCTCAAATTCAGTTGCTCTGATTCTCCAGCGTTCAGCTTTACTCCAATTAAACTACATTGATCCTGGGATGCCATCTTGGTTCAATAAGGCAACAACGTGTCATATGTGATATTTCTTGAGAAATCAATCCCTTTTTTTCGGACAAAGCCACATCATTTTTACGGATCACGTGCACAGACATTTGGGGGACTCGAAGCCAAGTCATGCATAATTGAACACAAAGCTTGGTGTTACTGTTTACTCTATCGCTCTCTGAGGGGCCTTTACAGTAAGCTCCCATTCGCCGCCCATAGATGGCACACTAATAAAAGAGGAAACAAACTGAGCCCACAATCAACTCAGACAGATGACATAAAATATGTCCCCGACCCCCAAACACACCAAACTCCAAAACAGACCATGTCTGTGTTTGCCAGTCTAGACACAAGCTGCTCTTCCAATCCCCTACATCGGACCTTCTCTCCTCCTTCTCTTCCTCCTCTCCTCCTCTCTTCCCCCCTCTCCTCCCCCCTCCCTCCTTCTCACCCCCACCATCATTGTCTGAATCGCCAAAGTGTTTTTTTCCCACGCTTTATTTTCACCGTCCTGTTTGCAGCCAGGCAGGAGGAGGAGGTGGGGGTGGAAGGGTGGAGGGGGTGGGAGGTAAGAACTGATGGGGTCGCCATGGAAACCCCACATTGGCATGCTCCTGATTGGACTACGTGGTGGCTAATTATTCAGCGCATATGCTTAAAAAAAACAATAAAGTAGGACGTATTGAAATGCAGAGCCAAGCATCGCATGGTGTGTGATTAACATATGAGCCCAGCGCTGCTTTTGATGAAATACGCCTCCATGTAGAAATTAACCGCAATGAGTAATTTTATGTGCATATCCGATGCTTTAGGGCATATCGTTAAAATTTCAACTGTAATCCTTTTTTTCATGCATGTACTAGCTGTGCTGTATTATGTGAACTTTCACAAATATTTTTTTGTACCAAAAAATCAGCTTAAACCAGATATATTATCTATGAGAAGATCACTAATTTGCATTTATGCCAATTTACACGTGGGGATCAAACTTTGACATCAAGCTGCCAAATCTAAAACAGGAGCAGCATGCCAACGGCAGGCCTCTGAGCCCTGGCACGACAGACACATTATGTGTGCGTTTGCCTGTGTGCGTGTGTGTGTGTGTGTGTCAGTGAGGATGGAGGGTCTGCTGTGTGAAAGGAACCCGTGGGTCAGGGGTTTGTATATGCGTTCGCGGGGAGGGGTTGGTGGGGGGGTGGGAGGGGGTTACGTTAACAATGGCAGTCATTGTTTACCAATCTCCCTCGTCCATTAATCAGGACGATCCGGCTCTAATTGGCGTTTTGGTTAAGCTGGTCTCCAGACCCCCTTTCCCTCCACTGGCCTAAATAATGGCGTTACGCCACAAGTGCCGCCGCACATTGGGGAGGACAATGTGCTGCTTGTCTAAGGGCCCAGGATAGGATCCCCACCCTCTCCTCTTCCCGTCCTTTCTTAGCGGGCCCCTGCACCCCCCAAGATAAACCTCACACAGTAACACAAAGAAGGCCTCTCACTATTGAGATCTCACTGTCGCAGCCTCCCTCTCCTCATCTGTCTGCCCCCCTTTCCTCCTTCCCGTCTTTCTCAGTCATTCACTCACTACACTTTTTACTTTCTGAATGGATACGTTGGTCGCTGGTTTCTTGAAAGGAGCAGCTTCAATGGTCGGGTCAGAAAAACACGTTGTACTTGCACTCGACCGTTATCCCATGCTTAAAGGTTGGCTAAAATGCTGCCGTGGCATAAAAACAAAACCCCTATTTCCAAATTAGGAGAATTTAAATGTTTTCACTTGGGCTGAAGGGCTGTTTGCTTCTCTAAAAGTTTAAACATTTGTCAGATTTGTAAAACCCTTTCATAGCTAAAAAAGGATGTTCATTAAGCACAAAGGCCAGAGAGGTTGGCATGATGGGTTTTCATCCAAAAGGAAAAATTTACTCTTAATTAATTTAGAGTAATTTCCAGTTAATTCTTAAAAGACATTCATCTCATATCTTGGACTTTTATAAACCATTTATAAACCATCAAGGCATAATCATAAAGCTGAGAAAAAGGAGAGAATGTCTGACCGGTTGGAAACACATTTCATTCAAAAGAATCCAAAAGGGGAGATGTGGTAACTTTCTTTAACAAAATTTAAAAAAAATTAAGTGTTGTGAGTGAAATGAGTGACAGTTGATGCTGCTCTGTCAAATATTCCACGCATCACAAATATTCATCTACAAGCCACCAATTAAGTCCAGTGCACATGTGAGAAAACTATGGGTGATACTGAGTGGAGATTTATGTAGCCTGCTAATTACGGCTGCTGGAGGATGTCAGCGAGCATGCAGGTGTTTCCTTTCTTCCACATCCTCGAACAAAGCGTCCTGCAGCGTAAATAACGTGTGAATGCTGCGCATGGAGAAATAATGCTCGTAGAAATGATAAATCTTTGCAGTCCAAATAATAATCAGAATGATGACCTGGAAACGGAGTCGTCGAATGGGGTTTTCAGAGCGTCTTAAAAGTCCACAAAATGGCCGATTGCCAGCGTCTGCAGCTTGACGACGGGAACGCCGAAAGCAACGCGGGAACCGCAGCTGCCCTTAAAAATGCCAGTTTGCCAACGCTCAAAAGCCGCTGGCTCCTACGGCTTCCTCTTTATCTCACCCCTTCCCGCGGGTCTCTCGGGGCGATCCCCACAATTAACACACTGGCGGTAATTAACACTGTCTTGAGGCGACCAATGGCGCGGAAAGGAGCGAAGCCAACGCGATGTGGGGGAAGGTGCAGCGCTGCCTATCCACATTCTGCTTTCTTTTAGCTGCCATTTTGTGCCAGTCTTAACACCTAAGATGGTGGCAGGACTGTGACTTTCCGTGCGGGAGAGGAGGACAAACTGGCGAGGGAGGGGTCGGAGTGTAGAGGAGGATGGTGGGATTGAGGAGGGAGTCTCTTGTTTTTCATTCTTCTAGTCGGTACATTGCCGAGCGGTAACATCGCCGATTGGAACATTGGTGCCCAACATGCGCAACACACAGAAGCACAATCCTCCCAAACATGGACACACACACATATATACACACACGTCAGAGAGAAAGTGTGTATACAGCGAAGTAAACAGCACCCTGCAATGGTCCGTTTGTGTAAAGAACGTGTAATTTACATGTGCTTAATATACGGCACACACATGCTAAGACACATGTGTGCCCATGCATGAACACACACACACACACACACACACAAACAACCAACACAGCCGTTCTCATGGTATGGTCTGCCCCTGAGCATGCAAATGACATTCATTATGCAAATGCATACAAATCAGAACCAACCATCTGAGAATCCAAGCTGGGAAGAAACGGGAAGAATAAAATAAAATGAATGAGGGGAACGAATGTTTGGGCGAGTGTGTGAAGAAGGTACAGGGTCAAAAAGTGAACACGTGGTCAACAGAAACATAGCTTGGGACTTTTGTAAGCTTAAAAAACATTACAAAGATATCTCAAATATAAAAATAAGCCATTTCCAAAAGCATAACTGAATGAAGGGGAAGCAGTGTTAAAGCATTCTTCCAGATAGTTTGTGCTACGTCACACTGCGTGTTAATAGAGCTTATGAAGGAAGAAGCTTGTGATATTTTATATTGTAGAAAGATTGTTGGTTTCTAGATATTATTTTGGCTCAACCAATTTATGTGGTACATGGGATATAAGATAACACACACACGCACACACACACACACACACACACACACACACACACACACGCACACACCATCTTCGTCATTCGTTTGAGACAAAGCTCATTGAGTTCTGAAAGAGCATCAACTGGAGGGGAGATGCTCCAAATGATGAGGGCCTCCTAATTGCCCCTTGAGGTGTTTTTTGTTTTGTTTTGCCTCTCTAGCCACCACAGCTTCTGTGCGACTTGCTCTCTTTAACCGCAAAATAATCCTCATCCTGAAACTGGATATTCGATATATTTGTCTTTATTGTATTGTTCAAAAAGTGTGGCCACAGCTCCATGTAGCAGCTACGTGTGGTGATGCTTCACCGAACGACTACAGCAACAACAACAAAACAATTTCTTTCCCAAAGGAAAGGATTCAAGCTTTTCCATTTCAGCCAATTATCTGCCATCATTAAAGTAAAAAAAAAAGCTAATTAGAAACTGATTGGGGCCAAATTCTTACCCAAACAAGGTGAAATCTGACAAAGAGACTCCTCAGTGTGTGTGAGACAAAAAAAGAGAGAAGCTTAAATTACGGGAAGGCGAAGATAGGATCTTAGAATCAATCAATGTTTTTTTTTAAAGAACATTAATCTAAATATTACATCCAAGTGTTTTGAATCTCTAAAGTCCTTCTTCCTCTTGTTATTCCTATTTGTAGTTGCAGTAATAACACAGGAGACCTTATTTGATTTGATTTCGGGGGGTTGTAATAAAACAAATATAAAAAACGTAAAAAAAAATACATACAATTAGGTGAGAGCCATAAATGTCTGAGGCACAGGGCAGCGGCAATAACTGAGTGTGAAGTACTGCAGCGGCAGCATGTGATTACACAGCTCACGTGTGTAGTCACACATGGTTGGGACAACAAGGTGGCAGAGACGTTTGTTTTATACAGGATAGACCGAGCAAACGTATCAGGCTGGTGCTGCATGAACGTCAGCGTTTGGCTAAAGGTCAGCAGTGCTCGAATCTGTCCACCAGCTCACCCTTAACATCTTCATGGCTTCAGCCCAGCGCGACCGGTTTAAAGTCACGGTGCCGTTGATCATCACAGCAATGTCCTTGTAGTTCATTTAAGTGAGATATACAGACAGCAGAGGAAATGTTATTCCAGAATATGGTGGGAAAAGCAACCTATGTAAAGGTTTTTCCAGAAAACAAAGGTAGAAGACATTTCCAACATACAAATACCAGATTGCTTTATAGTTTAGTTCTGCAATGTATATTTCAATGGGAGCAGGTACACAGGTGCACAGATGGTACAGCTTAGCTATATTGGTCATTTTGTCTTTCAGTATGACTTTAAGTGCTGCTGTGCAAACGTTCACACTATTGTCGCACAGCAGCGTGCTTGTTCAACAATCCAATTTTATGTATTTTGTGAAGATCTAAAAGGTTTTTTTATATTAACAATTTCAAAATATACTATATGTGTTGCACACTGGATCCTTTATAAGCGAACCCCCTCTCGCCCCATCCCCCCTAACAATACCTCTTATGTAACACAGCATACCTTCACGCCATCGTTTGACAGCGTCCGTTGTCCGAGCCCATTCCCAGTTCTTCTCGTCCTTTTCATTTAGTTTTCTTCCACCGTGCAGGCGTGTAATGGGATTCTTGTTACTTTCGGTTATCTAGCTTTATGAAGAATGTACGCCACTCATACAGCTAGATAACCAAAGATAACAGACAACCCCTCAGGCCTGCGAACACAGCGCTCTGTCAGCAGCAAACGCACAAACGCACACAGCGCCTCCAACACACCTGTAAGGACAAACAATGACAGGGAAAATGTATAAAGGGCTAATTTGCCAAAACAAAATTGCAGAGGTGGAAATAATGCCAATGATAGTCATAAATCTGATGTGTCAATGCAGGTGATTTATTACATGATGTTAAAAAAAACGCCTCAGTGAAATGAGATGAAAAACAAGCATGACTAAAGATTCACATGGGAAAACATTTCCCAAGCTATTAAGTGTCTTTTATATGACTGAAATGTGAATGAGCTCTTATAGGAATTCAGAACAACACATTAAAGCCGACTATCCAGTGAACTAAAGACAACAACAATAAAGATCTTTATGAGGGCAGCAGAAGCCTGGGATGAAATAGTACTCAGTGGAATAATTTGCATAAATAACACTCTGAAGATAATAATACAGTATGACAGAATGAAAGAGGAAATCCCTTTGAAATGCAACGCATGGACTAATTGTAAAAGAGGTAATACTTTCCCACTATATAAAGATATTCAGTTAGTATTATTTTAACTACAGGCAGATAAACCCTTTAAAACAGCTATATTTTCTGCACTGTGCATTATTAAACATTATTAACATTTACAGCCTCAAAATGTTCCCTGTATGCGTTAGAAAGCAGTTCAGTTCAAATGCAACACCAGCTGCAAAGGAATTAGTTAAATAAAGGCCTATTGCTCGTTGGACACATTTAAAAACCCTCATATCATCAGGCAATATGAAAATAAAGATTCCATTCCTGTAAATATATTTGTGGGAATTGTTGTGGATACGTTAATTTGTAATTAACGTTAACATAAAATTTATAATCTTTAAACATATATTTATGTGTTTTTGTTCATATTTGGACGTAATTTGCATATTCCATAAATATCTGCTAAAATGCTAAAATATTTACACAGCCAAATAATTTGTGTCTATGTGTGTCTAATATATTCCCTTAAACCTCTTTTTTTATTTAATGGCTTTTTGCGTGAGAGGGGAGTGACGTCACTGGCATCGCTGGCTTTCAATTAATGCACCGAGGTGTGATGCCCAATTAACACACACACACACACACACACACACACATGCCGTTATGAGAGGCTGTTCTTTCGCATCGCCAAAATAGGCCACAGCCTCATCCGCGAGCACACAGGGCGTCTTTAAAACCCCACACACAGATGCTGTGCATGCATCATCTCATGCTTTCAGCCTGCATTTTATTTTATTTTTGTTTGCAACCGCTTTTCGCATGAGTTTAAACGGGGATGGATTACAGAGCATGCTGTGGATTTTTGCCAAACTAAAGCTAAACATCCATTAGTAGAGATTACGTTGCTGTTTTACAGGCCGTGACTCACGAGCTCACAACTCCAACGTTCACACTCACTCCTTCAACTCTCATACTTGAGTGTTCTCGTTTATTAATACTAACTGTTCCACATATTTGCATATTGTTGGATTTGCAATTAACAGTCTTTGTCGTGTGGAAGTGAGTGCGTAAGCATGTTGTCCCTACAGGCAGAAATATAGTGAATAGAATTATCTGGCTACAAAAAAAAACTGCTTTTCTCGGTGAATCACCTTTTTCAAATAATAATATTAGGATTTATTTTTCAAATTGCATGGAAGTTGATGCCCAAAGATGTTACTACATATTAATTACGTAATGGTCGTTTTTTTTACAAGAACATGTGTATTTTGGTGTCCCTCTAAATGCAATAAAGGATGGAATAAAGAAATAATACTATCATTGCTGATTATGTATTAGTATTTGTATATTTCTTTGTTAATCACTTCCCTTGATTAAAGCAAATCTAAAATACTGAGCAATGCTGACTGTAAATTATCGACTCAAATGAGACGAAATAGACATGTGTGTAGCTTCTGTCGTTCTTTTTTTCGATGTCTGATGCGTTTTCTTCGTGCGCGTTTACAGAAGAGTGTGCACGGTGTGGGGTGATTGTGACAACAACAGTTTCAAATGAGGAATAAGAAATACGGTATTTGGTCAGGTCCAAACTGCATGGCACTGCTGACCCTTTCATTTCGTATTAAGTACCGAATATGGTGATGGAAAATATACTTTAACAGATTGTCAGGGTCATAAAAGCTTTCCGTAAATGCTGCAGAGTCTGAGCGGAACAGTCCCTTCCGAAAAAGGATCCCGAAAGGATTTTTAAATGATTTCCGGAATAATCAATTAGTTCCACGCAGTGTGCAGCGTGGTCGCTTGTTTTTTTTTTTTTTTATGTGTGTGTGCGCGCGTTCAAGTGCCCGTTTGTGGGACTGCGTAAGTAAGATGTTGTAATATATAGATTTTCTTGAAGAGCATTCAGAGCTCACGTGACAAGTCGTCAAGTGTTCGCCCACGCTTCGAGCTTCGATGCTAACGTGACAGATATAAAGTAGGACCATTCATATTCACCTGAAGGTTGGAGTACGCCCTCGTCTTCACTTCTGGTGCTTTTGTGTGTCATTTTCTAGTGGGGGGGGGGGAGAAAGAATGACTTGAGGATATACGAAAAGAAGATCCATAATATCTAACAAAGGCATCCTTATTTTATCTCGCTCTTTCTCCTGGAAAACACCCTGCGTGGGAAATCTGCCCACTAGGTCGCATAAAGGCCCAAACTAGTCCGGTCTATGTTGCTCAGCAGGGTCTCTTTGCACCTGCAGCTTCACTGACAACGTGGCTCTAAAGATGCTGCTGCATACAGCGGCCCCTTTCCACATCAATGCATGTTTTAGACCTGTGTCCGCTCAGATACCTTCTAACCTTTGAGAATAACGGACGAGGTCAATCTACACCGGGGCCTGCGTTTTACCTGGATTCATCCTTTTTTTTTATCTGAGTGCAGAGTCATGGCTACTGCTCATGCAAGCCCTGCATTCGTGTCTTCATTTTCGAAGAGCATCCGACTAATTTATCCTTTGCGTCATCCGGCCCACGAGCTCAGTGATGAGACAGAATACAACAAATCCCTTTGCACGTGTCAAATCTGTTCACTTTGAGAATAGAAAAAGTCTAACAATACAGTATTGGTCCGGAGCTCAGCCAGCTGGTTTGGCGCAATACACCCCCGAGGAATGTTAGGTATTATTTTATTTTATGTACTAATCATAGGAATAAAACCTAAACAGGGAGTTCCTTCCACCCACTTACACAGATTAAGTCGGCTTTACAAAAGAAATCTGCTGTGTAGTCTCAGTCCATAGGAAGCCGAGTTCTTGTCCAAAAATCCCATTTTGCTTTTTGGCAATATCGCCTGAAGCGACACTGATGCCCCTCACAAGCAGTGTGACCCGCAGCCCTGTAAAATAACACTGAAGTAAAAAGCGCAATTACTTATGCAGGGGTAATAACAATGGAGCCTGTGGCTGATCGGGTCTCAAAGACACTAAAGCTATGTTGCAACTTAAAGTTGAACAAGAAAAAACATTATTTTCTGGAGTCATCTCCGAAAGGTCTTACCGAAAGTGCGCAGACGGATGCTGGAGATGGAAAATGCGTCCTTCTTGGTACAATATTAACATTGATAAATATAACTGGGACTTAATCAAAAGGCCTCGTGGGTGAAAGGAGTTCACCCGTGACTGTATAGACACTGAAGGATCTTCTGAAATTGCGAAATGCTTCGGACTCGCACGCTGAGATTTCGGCAAAAAAGCCTCGGACACGCTGCCAAGCACACGTCTGTGCTGCTGCTCTCAGATGCTGTTCAGCCTTCAACTCGGATGCTGCTGCTGCACATATACACCTTAAACTGGTCAGAGCCAGAACGAGCATCACTGGCAGACGTGCATTTGCCGTATCTGTTCGGCCTGCAGACGCTCACTTATTTCGCAACTGGGTTACACGCGTATTGCAGAACGTTGCCGCCTGTGGACACGCAGGACGCCTCCATGTGGATCCTCTCCTGCAGGATTAAACTCACTCTTATGCCTCAAACCACTCATAACACAAAGCAGGGTTCTTACTGTTTCCTCCTCGGGCGCAGAAGAAGGGTGGGTGGGTTGCACGGGTCTTGGATGAGCTCCTGGTAACCAGCGGTGCCTCCGGACTGAGAGCCAAATGAGCGCGTTCGTGCAGCGACGTGTGGAGCTTTTTGGCGACGGCGCATCGTGACGTCCCGCCGGCTCATTCCATTTTTTTAAATTGAACGGGTGTCTTGGTTTCTTGGCACACGGGTCTCCCTCGGATCCGCCAACCCCCGGTCCTCCCCTCGGCGAACAGGGGGAGTTGGCGCTGTCCGATGGCTACATCTCCACCGCTGTTGATTCCAAATGGTTTAACATTTCATTTGTCCTCAATCATATACGGCGTCCAAGGTCCACCCCCTTGTGAGTCAGTGAGGTAACACGGTTCCCACCCTCTGAGATGTTATATTATGCAAGGCGGCCGATGTAATTGCAATACGGGCCTATGGCAGCGTCTCTCACGCCCCCCATCAGACGCGTGCAGAAGTGCATGCTGGTACAATCACGCATTCACCCATCCAAACTCACTAATTACTTTATGATGCTATCCCGGAAATCCCCCTATATGTTCCTTATGACATCTAGCGCGTTGTTCATACACTAAATAATATAATATATTCAGTCGAGCTCCTGCTAAATGTATTGATTAATGTATCATGAACATCATGGGCGAACGTCTGTGTGCCGTGGGTCTGCTGTTTGCTGTCACCTGTCATCATTGTAGCACCGTTTTTAAATGTGATTTTAGGCCAATTAAAATGTATTAATGAGAAAATGGAAGACTTCAAATTACAGTACATTTAATTCTCACATGGTTCAATGTGAAATGCCTTGTCTTTGTATTTGTCTTCCCACCCAGAATTGACGTGCAACTCAAAGATGCTGCTGTCTGCAGCTGGAGTTTGTAGAGACTCACTTGACAGGCAGCCTGGAGAGGCGCTCCAGCTTGGTTAATTATCATGATAATCACACCAGAAATCTTTTCAATCAATGAAAGACGAATCCTCTCCGACGTTATTGTATACGGTCTCCTTCTTGTTTATGTGCGTGGCCTAGACGGTGGTCGTCATTTGCATCTAATAAAGTTATCTCAGTCACGTTGATCTGTCTAGACTCCATGTGTGGAAGTGCTTTTACATACAGAGCTTAAAAGTCGCATCACTTGCACCGCCACAGTGCATACGGGTGCGAATGCATGTGCTGCAAGGGTGGAGTATAACTTTTGGTAATACATGAACATAATAATAATAATAATAATAAGGAGAACTTGCTAGTCGTCATTGTCAGTTTCAGGGTCGGCTGAGAGACGCAGGAACCCGGGGAGAGCTTCTTTAATGGACTTAACCCAGAGGAGCCCTCGGGGCAGAATTGCTTATAATAACGTGCTTTCGTTTTGAGGCCAACAAATAACTTGTAATATGCACAATGTCATCAAAAGTGAAGGTGTTGCTCAAATGAATACTGTTGCAGTAGTAGCGACAGTAGAGTTTTGCTAGAACTTTGTCTGAGATGCAACCACGTTCCCACTTACTTCATTAAAAGGCATAAGAAGCAATAGCGTGCTGCTCTGTTGCTTATTGTAACGCGTTACACTGGCCGTGAGAAGCAGACAGTCTTTTGGCTGGTGCACAGCAATAAAACACCCTCAGCCACCCCTCCATTGTTTTACTGCTGCCAGGCCAGACACGTGCAGGCTTCTCGCGGGCGACGTGCATCGCGGGGGGGGGGGGGAGGGGGGGACCACTCTCTTTTCTCGTGTACCCAGGAATGTAGGGACCGAAAAAAACTCACCTGTACCTGTAAATATTTGATGGAATGCTTTGGCCTAACCAAGGGGATTCGGTCTATATTAGTGCATGCATATGCATGCACAAATACATACCCCCCCCCCCCCTACCCCCCTCTTCACGTCGTTCCAATATTCAAATTGGGATCCTCTGATTTAAATGGGAACATGGTGGTGTATACTTAATGAAAGTGGGGGTACTTCGTGCAATTGAAGTTATGCTGTCGAGTTATTTCAGAAATGTTGCAAGAAGTTAGAGGTTTGCAAACCACTTAACAAAAAAAAGCCAAATAGCAGCATTTAATGTTGCCCGGTGACCCAACCTAAGGTAAAGAATGGTAAATACAGGCTGTATTTGCTCGTAGAATATTGTGGTGACAGCCACTGCTCCCCAGATAACTGGATGCAGTTAATGGGGACCAGAAAACTCCTTCACTTCCTGGATCTCAGGAATCCTTGTTGTGTAACTCCGTGACAGAAAGTATATGCAGATCACACTGTGCCTATTTGTAATCAAATCAAAGTCGAATCTACACCGAAGTTTAAGTATTTTATCTGTTCATTTGATATCATCCAAATTAATTCAGTTTGTTACTGCACAACATGGTCCATTAATGTTTCATCATGGTAAAGTGAGTGGTTTTCCCTCTGATTTCCTAATTTAGGGAAGAGTAATGATTTTGCGTCGTCCCCGGTGTTCCCATAAAGAAAGAGAAAAATGAGAGTTGTAGTTGTGTGACCAAACAGTCACCAGCTTCAGTTAAACTCACTCACTCTGCTCACATGAGGCCATATGAAGTGTGTTCTTATTTATTGTTTTTTTTATTAAAATATTCTAGTGTTAAAAAAAATTAAAAGAAGTTCAGCCAGTCCTCTTTGGGCTCATAAAAAATGGACAATAATTACATTGAGCATATGACACACATTATTATTATTATTACAACAACAACAAGTCAACAGAAATTAGCCTAATTTGATTGGATAATAAAGCCACCTTAGGCAAACTTTGGACGATATGAATATAATATAATTTACTTATAATGACTTTAAGTGAACAAACAGAGGGAGTGGAATTCAAAGTGGATATGGGTTGAGATTCAACAGGCTTGTGGTTTATAGTCGAGGAAATGCCGAACAGAAGAAGACAGTTATTATTGTTACTGCACTCTGAGACCATCGGGATGACTTCATCATCAACTTGCAACCGGGTAAATGAACATTTTATTTGGTCTGTACATCAAAAACTTCCGTCCAATACCGTTTGTAACAAATATGTATTTATGTATATTTAGCCTTGGAGCTTTAGAGTATTTTTGCGGAGGTTACAAGCAATTCTTTTAAAATATTTGATTCTGTCTTCATTCTGGATTGTATGGGTGACGTTGGCAGGTTCACATTTCCAAACAGGAGTTACTTAAATATTTTAGCCGGTTATGTCTCAACAATATTTTTTTGATTGCCCATTAATTATGACTTTTAGGTAGAATAAGAGATGAGAGCTTCGTTTAGCCGAATTACTGGACTGAAAATGCATGGTTGAAAAAATAAGTAAAAAATATATGTATTTGGTGTAACTGCATTCTATTAAATTAAATGTATTTTTATATATTTGTTTGTTATATTCTCAGCAAGACACCCGCGGGTAGATAATCCAAATCAATATGCAGGCATCACATACCGGCATTTTACAAATAAGTCTTCAAATCCAGCGCAGGTTTTCTGAGACGTGATGAAGCATCTTACTTGCGACTTGGTTCATTAATTTTTATGCATTTTATTATCGAGGACGGGTCTTGTCTCGTACATTTAGATGTATTTGGCGCCGTGGTCTTTAGCGACCAATAGAATCATTTTTTTCTTAGCATTAAACGGGTGGAAAGGTCTAAACGCCGTAGTCATGGCTGCGGCGGGCCACGTGTAGTGTTTCAAGTATAATTATATGGTGTAATCGATGTATTGTAGTGAACACTAATAAAAATAAAACATCATTGAAATATTTGATGATGACAATGAGATCGTTATGATTAGTGCCGATTAAGTTTCTCTGCTCTGCTGCTGCCATCACGAGGACAATATTTGTATTACAGGCTCAACGCTGGATTGTCGCCAAGACCTCAAGAATAAACGATAATAATCTCCACCTGCTTTGGTTTCAAACCCCCATCTATTTAGGACAGTGGACACTGGAGCAGGACCTCCTCTGTTGCAGCATGTAATGCTTTCACAAAGTACTCAGAGAAATGTCAGTGTAATGCACACGGAACAACTGTTCTTTCAAAACAAGTCAGATGTCATCTGTCATCTATATTTGTAAGTGATGAATCCAGACTTTTCAACCTTTTTGTCCAGCCAGCATGTGAAATAACATTAGGGTGACCAAATGTGTGTCTGTCTGTTTAAGGAGAAGCGTTAGGATTTTGTAAAATGGTTCACTTGTTAATGGTCTTGCATCTTTGGCTCGTGCTATTTGTCTGCACAGAGTAAACACAGCTGAAGCAGAAATATGAATCTCAGAGATGTACAAACGAATATCCTCACGACGGCACAGCGCGGCGAGTGTGTGGGCAGCCGGGTGGGGGTATAAGCCTGGATGGAGAGCACCAGGCTGACAGCACAGCACATTTGCAGGCATGCACGTGGAATATGATGCCCCCATCAGGTTGGAAACACTTTCATCTAACAGCAAATGTGCTGGTTATGGTGCTCTTTGTTCAGGGTTCACAAGTGAACAGGATGTTTAATCATGTGCCGAGGCTGCATATAACCTCTGCATGTCTAATATCCCAGCATGAATTACAACAGAAGATTAAAGGCATCGACATGTTGAGAACCATTGAGATGCAACCAAGGTGGTATCTATCATGTAACGTTTAATAATGGAGCTTCCTCTCCTCTGTCAAGTCTCACCGCTCACTGCTACAGTTTATTCTATTTGGTGTTTGACGTCTCTGCTGAAGGACACCTAAACAGCAGTGGCTCAAGGATCACACGGCCAACCTTGCAATTAATCTGCCCTACCAACAGATCTACGGCCATTTGACTGTAAACCTTTCCACAGCTAGACGCCCACTCCGTTCTTCTGAGGAGCTTGAGGCCAATTCTTTGCTCAGCTAAACTTTTCCTTCCTTTGCTGCCTGATCTCTCTTCCATCTGTACTCTGTAGCTGCTTTTCTTGGAGACATTTAGGTCTGTTTTATTTAATTTCCTGCATCCACAAGAGTATCTTCTTATCCCCTGGTGCTTAGCTATTCTATTACAATGTTCTCATGGTCCATAGTGATGTCAGTAACTGAGTTGTTACTGTTGTTGACTTATGTTTAAGTCATCTTCATATTTGTATCCTGTGGGTTTTGATACTGTGTTTTCAATAAAAATGTCCTCATGTGGAGCCAAGATGTCCTGTGTTATGTCCCTGTCAGCTGTTCTACTCCCAATGATCCTGTGTCTGATACTGATTTTGTTTTCAAACTAGGATACAGATCTGCCTAGAAACCCATGACGAAGACAAATGCGGCCAGCATGTTACTAGAGTTTTTTAAAAGCATCTTTATATCCTCCCATGAGGGTCAGTGCACATCAACATGATTTCTGTTACAAGACAAACTGTTCCAGTGTCCTACTGGTACCATTTTAACATATTTTTTTGAAAATGGGTTCCTACTGACCCAGTTAGATCGACCCTCCGCACATTGTTGATGTGCCTTTTCGCCTCTGAACCCCCAATTGAAGAAATCGTTTGACGTTTTTGGAAAGGATTTTGTTTTCTAGCAGAACCAGTGGGACAGACAAAAGAAATGTGTCCTGTTTGTTTTCACTCTTTAGGCTATAGGCTGAGCTACCCACATGCATGCACTAGCTTTGACATGCAAATATGACAGTGGTATTAATCTAGGATCCCAACATCTGGAACAGCTCTTCACTACAGATTGTGGAAACAGGCCACAGCAGCTCTAGTAAGCAGTGATCCAAAATGCCCTTTTATACAGACATACAGCAAAACAAATCAGCTGAGTAAACTTTAATCCACAGTCATATTTGTCAACGGGTGAGATTTGTACTAAAGCAGAGCTTTTTCACTACATATCTCCTCCCAAACACACACACACACGTCATTGTCAATATTAGGGCGGACCGACACATATTTAGAGCGCTTCTCCACTAGTATGTGTCAATAATAGGCTGTTCTGCTGCCCTGTGTCAAAATCCTCTTTGAATGCTGTTTAATGGGCCATATTCTAAATAAGTCAGTCAGTGTAAAATCAATATTAAAAACTAACTCGGGAAGAATGTGTCGTTTTGTGTGTGAATTGTGAATGTGGTTAGGTGAGACAGATAAGGAGGCATATATAGGTCAATTGCTCCACGGCCCTCTGGTGGGTTAATGTTAACAATCATATATTAGTCTACAAACAGTGGTGGTTTTATGTGAAAGAATAGTCAGCCAACTGCATATACAGAGCAAACTTACATATTTCAATACAACGATATTGTGTGCGTTGCATAAGATACATTAAATATAACAGTGTATAATGGTAATTGAGTACACATCTCGTGCATCACGTCGGCATTATTGTAAGTCATGATGCCATAACAGTCTGATGATGTTATGAGATGAAAGGTCTGGGAGAACAATGTGTGGACGATTAACGCTTCGCAACCCTTCATAACATTTCTCCCTGTGACTCATCGCTCGTGTGTTCGTCGTTTTACACGCCGTGGTGGTTACGAGTCGTGATAAAACAAATGGCCTAGCGGTTTCTTTGCGGGCGCAGCGGGGCAACAGTGACATTTTCCCCACATGCAAAATCATGCAAAAGGTAAATACTGAGGCGGAGGGATACGGACACTATTGCAGAACATGGCCGTCACCTCCGTCATGTCCTCTCGCAAAGACCGCCCCGTTTTTTGCAACCCCGCGCTTTGATTGGACAAGGGGCTCGCATGTCAGCTTCTCATTGGCTCTCCGACGGGTCAATCACGGGCTAAGTTCAATGACGTCGACCGCACACTGGGTGCGCTGTATCGGTCTGGGTGGACAGTATAGTTACCTCAACATTTAATGGAATAAAATGCCGCGGACTCGTGTAAATTGACAAACCGCTTCAACGCAATTAATTAACGTTTCTTAATTAAGACGCCAGCGCGCACACAGCTCGTGGCGACAGGCCTACTTGGGGCTGTTTATCAGCGATATTTCAGGGTAAGTGGAGTGATACGTTTCCTTCCTGCGTCTTTTCTCCTCGCGCAAGAAGCGCAGACCTGCTAGCTTTATAATTTTTTATTTGATTTCACCACGTAAAATAAGTACCCCGTTGTGTCGCAATTCGCTCCACGGAAGCACGACGCGAATGTGAATGCGACATGTCCGTCGGGTGGTGTTGAAGCAGCCGAGCTAATGGAGAGCGTCGGGGAGGTAATGGCTGTCGCTCCGCTCGTAACTTCTACATTTTGTGCAATGGCCCGTTTGGATAAGCTCGTTCCGGTTTTTGCTCTGTAAAGCAACCCGGGGTTTTGGGGGGTGTGTGGTGGTGGTGGGGGTGTGTGGTTGGTAAATGAAGGTGTTTGGTAACAATCGAGGCCACATGATTTGCTGACGGTGTTCGGGGTGACGCTACCTGTCCGCGGGCCCCGCCGGCCCCTTTGGTCTCCATCCGCCGTTGCGGTCTGTGGACGTTCGGCCTCCTGCTGCCACTGACTTACAAAAAACAAATCCCCTTTGACCTCGTGTTGGAGTGTCCGCACCAAATCCTAACACGGTCAGTAGCTTAATGACGTGTAAGGAAAGCACGGGACATGCGAGAGGCCTGTTGTTCAAAGGCTGCTCCTGCAGCTGCGTTTTCCAGCTTCACCTCAAGAAAAAAATGTTTCTCTGTGTGTGTGTGTGTGTGTGTGCGTGCGGCCAGATGAGATTTAGTACAAAATACTGCAAAGGACAAATGCCAGGCAGCGATGCTGTTGCCATGCAAACGCCATTTGCATGGCTGTGTTTACTGTAAGCGCAACTGTACTCTTCAACATACACAATTGGAGCGCCTTTTAGTCAAATTTAGGGGAACTACAATGTTTGAGCACGGGGCTGTGTGCGTTCGTCGTGCTGGAAATGAGCAGCCGTGGTGTTCTGTGCCGTGCCAGGCCAGATGCCAGAGCTGTTGGGCAAGAAGTAGGCCAATTTGACAGTTGCACACCACTGTGTGCCCCCGCAGATGGGTTCCTGTCTCCATATGAAGGTAGTACGGTCTCACTGATGAGATGGTTCTCTACCAGCAGCGTGTTTATTACAATGGCTAATATGTGTTATTGAATTTAATGCGACACTAGTATTTTTGAGTTGCATTTTTTACTTCCCGAAATCCTTTCTACAGTTTCAACAACAGAAGTGCTTGAAATAAAAGTGGCGTTGAAGCTCCGTTCCTACTAGTGGGACTGAGAATAATGCCGGTCGTTGTTGCCAAGATGAACAGAATCAGCCGAGAGTCTTTGACAACATTCCTTAACATTTAATTCAGGTCTTCAATTGTTGCCGTTGTTTTGGAGTTTGACCCTTTTGTCTCTCAGGTCACACATACATCCTACTGTCAGCATAACGTCTTTCACTCCAAGTTCAGTCCTCTGCTAGTTTAGTCAAGACATTTGTAATTTCTCTACGATGTGCTTTTCTTGTATCTGATTTTTTTTAAAGTGTACGACCTCAGTGCTTTTTTTTGTCTGCTAATATCAATCTTCCCGTAAGACCTAAGTGAAAAGTATTACATTATCCAAACTCTTTGCTTGAATAGCTATTATGCTTTGATTTTTTTCTTCTTTTTTTTCTTCTACAGAAGCCAACTCTTAATTAAGACATTTAGTTTGTTGTACAATGAATTTAGAAAGGTGCACCGCACATGAAACCACTTGCTGCCATCATGCTTCCACAGTCACACGACTATGTGAGTGTAAGTCAACCCTTGCCTGAGCCGTGCACATACAAACCGCTCCGACAAGTCACGCTGGGGCTCCGACCAATCATCTCAGGGCTTTCGCACATTTCATTGGCTGGTAAATAATCCGGTAAAGGTCACGGCCACTAATTACGCTGCTCCAAAAGTGACAGATGCCTATCCTGAGCCTGATTGCGTACTTCTTCATCAGAACAATATTCAAAGGTTGCATAACCGTGATTCAAATAAATGTGCCAGGCTCCCATTTTCTTCTCGTTTGCCCGAGTGACCAAATGCTTTTCCCTCCACGAAGAAATCAGGCAAACCTGGTCCAGCCCATCGTTTTCCATTTTCCTCTCGTACGTTCACACAGCGAGCTCGGTTTGGCTGAATGCAGGGTTCCGTTTAAACCAAGCGGCGACCTCATTATGCTGGCGTCCAATCAGTCCTCCGGCCGCCTCCTAATTGAGCCATCGACGCCTTAAGGGGGGGAAGAAGAGGGATGAACGTGTCAATTACAGTAATGAGGGGGCAGCCATGCAGAGGGCAGTCGGGGGGAGGAGGAGGCGGGAAACAGAAGCCCCGCAGCGTGGCCGCGTTCTGGTCCCTTCACGGCTAATCAGAGACTGTCGCCCTGCAAAGTTTAGTAGGGTCAGTGTGGAAGGGCCGCCGTTAGTTGTCTCCCCCTCTCGCAGTGGGATGTTTCTACGTTTTGTCGTAATTGTTTAGCGTTGGTGCCTTACAGGTGCAGCTAATGGATGATTTTTTTAAAATATTATTGGTGTCCAGAACTGATTTAAAAATGTTCACTACACGGAACTAACTTTTGGTTGATTCTCGAGCCGGATGCTCTGTGTGAAATGAGGTTTCGGAGGCCCCATGTGCACTGGCGTTTTCAATTTTTCCGTCTGGCCTGACAAAAATCCCACAGGAGAGCGTTGACGTGGAAGGTCAAGACTGGAGGGAAAATGTAAAACGGTTGCCACAGAGCTGAGCTTATGAGTAAGAAGGAGAAGCTAGTGTTTTAACAACCGATTGGCTAATCACACAGCTGTGGAGGAAACCAATCCGCGATCGATCAATCGGTTCCTATTCATCTGCCGTTAGTAAGGAGATTAAACAGACGTACAAAAAACTGAAACAAATTGATAACGAGAAAGTCAAATCCTAGCTCCTCCGGTCGGCCAAAATACATACAACCTTCATAGTTTTTGAGTTCTTTAATGTTAATCTATATTGTAGAAGAAAATAAAGAACAACCGTTGACTGAGAAGGTGTGTCCAAAATGTTAAATGTAACTGTATATTCATACATGTATGGCCAAGTTTATTTAGTCTTAAATCTATCATGCAGATGTAACCAATGCTTTTTGTTGTCATTCTTTGCTTTATATATTTCTATGACTAAGGCCTTTGTGTAAAGGAGGATTTCAAAGTATAACTAATTCTGAAAGGATATTTAACAGGTAGTCCTCCTGCACCCAAAGAGACATATATAACATATGTGAATATGCCACCTCTTCCATACAACGCTAACCTTTAACCTGGCACGTGATCATACCAAAGCTTCTGAAAGGTTTTCTCCGTATGTACATTTGATCGTAAAGAATAAAACCCACCCCCATTTTATTTTTTTTAAATGTAGAGCCGATCTAACTTCGAAGCTGCATGTGCGTATGAAAACATGCTGAATTTGCTTTTTAGTTCCGATGACACAAGTTTTAGCGTCTATTGGTGTACTCATGAAATAAGTCATTTAGTCTGTGTGATGTTTGACTATGACAAATTCATTTCCCAAAGTGATGTCTTTAAACGGCCCTTATGGCTGTATGTTGTTTTGAAGAAAAGGGAAAGAAATCTGCTTCACTACAACCAAAGATGAAGTGAAGCTTTTTAGTTTTGTGTTAAAATTGATGAACTGAATGGTACAATACAGATGTTTGACAGTTTTTGGTCACTTAATTGGGTAGAATGGAGGCAGTTGGACAAAGCTAGAGCAGCAAAATACTCGTCACACTGAATAAGCTGTTGTATCTTAAAGCTCATTTTTAGAACTCTTTCATTTGGTCGGTTTGTCTGTCTTGACGTGTTTATCAACTTGATCAGTCAAATAAAGCCTGACCTCAAGTTAAAAATCAACTTAACTGAGTGCCATTCCACTCGATTGCTGCTTCTTGGTAACGAAGGTTGGAGTGAACCAGATCGGAACCGTACACTGTTGGAAAGAGTCCTTAACGTTCGTCTGTGACAGTTCTTGTCTTTGTTGTCACGTACAAAGAGGCATTACGTTGCAATTTATTTTCTCAAGACCAGAATGGGAGGATTTATTGATTTGTGAATGTACAATCACCATCGGCAGACAACAGTTTATTTCCCTCGCGACGCCGTTCTGATGTCTGTGTGATATTTCAGTGACCTTTCTGTCCCTCTGTGTCCCAACTTTCTCCTCACCACAGCGTTCTGTCGCTGCGTGAGACAAACTGAAACGGAAGACCTCCTCTCCTCAACGCCTCCCGTCTCCGCTGCGCCCGACTCTTCGCCCTCGCTCCCCGCAAAGTCGCCGCCCGAGCACACCTGGGCAGGGAAATGTGCGCGTGCGTGTATCCTCGGATGCGTGACTGTCTGAGAGTTTTGGGCTGAAGTAAGAGGTTGACGTCTGCCGTTCATCTCTCCCCTTCTGAGACGTGCTTCTCCATCAATTGACTGCATTTATCTCCACAACCGCAAGGCATTATGGGTAGGAAAAAGATTCAGATCCAACGGATCACCGATGAAAGGAACAAGCAGGTGAGTACTTGTCTTCTGTTCTTTAGTGTGTTTACGGATGAGGACTTCAACCCAGTGTTTTGATTATTGATTAGAACTGTTAACTATACTTTTTAATGAGGAGTTTCCAGCTTTGATGCTCCTGAGCTATAAAAAACTCATTGGTAATAAATGTCAGATCAGATTTATGACCTGGTGTATTTGGCTTTTGTTTAAATGTTTTAGACTTTACAGTTATCATTAAGATATAATTCGGTTTTCATAATTAAGTCACATTTTGAAAGAAAAGTGAGTTCTGAAACTGTTTGATTGAAGTAGATTGTTTGATTTTATGGAACAGATTTCTCTTTAATTCTCTGGGTGCTATATTGTTGTTTTTGCTTCATTCCCAATCGATCAATCCAAATCAATGATACACATTGTTGCAGTGAAAGGGCTGAAAAACTAAAGCCATACTATATCTTATTCAGCTTCACTTGTTTGTTTTTTTTATTCCTCACAAGACTGCCAACTCCTTTCAGGTTTCCTCCCTGACCAAAGTCCGTCTTGTTTTTTTTCAGTCGGGTCGTATGAGTAGTCGTACAAAAATGTTAATTTGGTATTTTAAGGGTTCTTTCCCAGCGTAATCATTTTTTTTCTGAACTACTTTCCCATAGCTCTGACTTGCAGACCCGTTCAATAAATTGTTTGCACAGTGAATACTGAACATGTTTCACTAGAAATCAGGAAATTGTTGTGACTTAAGGCATTTAAAATAATTTAAATGGAGCAATACAATAACACGAGCTGTCAAACTCTCTTAGCGCCTGTCATCACTAGCCGACTTTACTTCTATTGTATAATGTAAGTTATACTGCTATGGAAAGATGAGTCAACTCAACAAATTACAAAATTCTGACCATTTCCATGTGTAAATATTAGGGGTGTAACGATTCATTTTAACAACGATTCGAATCACGATTCATGGTTGCCGATTCGATTCATGGACGATCTGGGTTAATTTAGAACGATTTGATTCGATTCAGTGACTTGAAATCGATTCAGTAACTTTACAGGCAAAGTTTCTGAGATCCCTGTTGTTTCAGGAAATCAGGTTTAAATTAATTATGGATATTATAAACAAGCAAACAGCAATTGATGGCAAATGTATTAACCTTTTTATTTGAATCAAGTGCCATTTTCAATGTAAACATTACACAATGTTCAATTCACAGAACCCCGGATTTTCAACCACATTGTAGGGTCGCATGTCTTTACAGATAAACTTGGCAATTGTTACTGTGATGTTGATTTTCGTGCTGGCGAGGCCTGAGGTGTCTGCAGAGCTGGAGTTACCTGCTGCTGCAGCGGTGACGCTGCTAGAGGCGCCTGACTGTCGGCGTTGTTTAATCACACGGCGCCTTAGTAGATGGCTGGAAAGATTCGTGTTTCCGTGTTTTTTATTTGGCTTCTACATATTCTACAAACGGCGACCGACTTATTTAGAACACCTCTGTGTTTGCAAAAGCCAAAATGTTTCCACGCGCTAAGTTGGTTTGTAAATGTCTCGCTCGCAGTCGTCTCCTCCACGCTGTGTGTTTTTGTTGTTCCGAGATTCGCGCGGCTGCCGCTGCGTACTGATGACGTCACAGACAGGCAGACTGAATCGAGTGACGTTTAATGTGTCTAAAGTGCTAAAAAACAAACAAACAAACAAACACTCATCCATGCCGTTTTTGTACTAAGTAAGTATCGATACAATCGATTATGTATCATTTCAATCGATTTGTAGTCTATATATGTCGTCCGGAATGCCGATTTGCGGAGCACCGATCGATTCAGTTGGATCGCAGGAATATAAATCGATTCAGTGGATTAGTCGTTACACCCTTAGTAAATATCAAAACCAAAAAAATCCCAACCTGTTGTTGAGGTGTAGCTTTCTGAGCTTTTAACGACTGTTAACACAACATCTTTTGTATTCCCCCACATTCTATCCTGTTCCCCTCCTCCCCAACGTTCTCTCAGGTGACCTTCACAAAGCGAAAGTTTGGCTTGATGAAGAAGGCCTACGAGCTGAGTGTGTTGTGTGACTGCGAGATCGCCCTGATCATCTTCAACCACGCCAACAAGCTGTTCCAGTATGCCAGTACCGACATGGACAAGGTCCTGCTCAAATACACCGAGTACAACGAGCCTCACGAGAGCCGGACCAACGCAGATATTATCGAGGCAAGTCCGTTGCATTGGCAGCACTTGTGAACCAGTCAGCCAGCTGAGGTTGACGGTCTAAAAAAATGTCACTGCTCCGTTGTAATGTTTATTATTACTGGGAGACTTTACCCGTTAACAGTTGAAATTCTCTTGAAATTGGGGGCCAGAGAGTCAAGTCAAACTTTGTCTTAACTGGTAGATTTACTAAAGCTTGTTTCAGCCCCGTCGTGTAGAATTTACACAGGGGACAAAACCCCCCCTAAACTGACTGATGTAGTACGGCTCACTTTCTTTTCTTTTTACTTTCACAGACTTTAAGAAAGAAAGGCTTCAACGGTTGTGAAAGTCCAGAGCCGGATGGTGAAGACTCCATCGACCAAAGTCCCCTAAATGATGACAAGTACCGCAAGACCACCGAGGATCTGGATGTTCTCTTCAAACGCTACGGAGTAAGAATCCAAGTTTATTAGAAATACTGTCGTTAAGCTTCTTTCTTCACTGTAACGTTGTTTGTTGTTATTGTTTTTTTGGGTTGATGGTCTGCAGGAAATCGCTACTGGGGTGAAGTTCCTCTAACGGCTTGTCACTTTTTTTCTTTTTTTCACTTCTTGTTTGCAGAAGGAGAATGAAATAGGAAATAACAGATTGTTAAACAGCTTTTTAACCACGATCATAAAAGGAAATGGTACTGCATTTTGAATTCACTTTAAACCACTAGCGTTCTGGACCCACCAACATGTTCCGTTTCTGCCTCAACCACAACTGCTCGCTGTTTGAACCCACTGTTTTATACTTTCCGGTTGGAATCTTAATACCCGTCTATCAAGGCATTTACTGACCAATACCAATTCTGACCAATAGTGTCCCCTGTAAATGTTTGTTCTGTTTAATTGAGGCTGGGCTGAGGTAACTTTGGGACTATCTTCGAATAGTCAGAAGAATCGTATGCTGATTTACAGTAAATCATTGCTGTACTTCAAGAACCAACTTTAACTTAAAGGCAGAAGGAGCAACAGTTATAAAATCTGCATTCAAGGTTTCCCTTTTTCTTCTTCCTCCTTGCTCGACGACACTTGCCTGTGAGTTTAGTGTTGGTCTCTCTATATAGCAAACAGGCACAGTCTTTATGTCCAGATCGGAGAAACTTTCTGAGCCGACTCAGACAACACAGATTACCAGGATAGAACCGAGACTGGAGGAGCAGCGGTTGAGGAGTGACAGCCAGAAGCAGAGGAAGAGGAAACGCCAGAAACAAAGCAAAATGAATAGAAAAGCGTAAACAGGCAGAAGGCCGAAGGTCTCCACATAAGCCGCACGCTTTTAATGAGTCGTAAATCATGGTAGACAGGGATTATTATTATTATTATTCTTATTATTCTTTTAGTCTATACATTGTTTTAAATTCATGTCATTCTCTATATGCATTTTAAATGTAGATGCATGTAAATATGATTTATTTGTACATATTTACCTAATGTCATGAAGTTTACAATCCGAGCAATAAAGTAATGGGGATTTGATGATCAAACACCTATAGCCTTAGTGCAGTGAAACACGTACTTGCGTTGTTTACCTTTTTAATTAAAGCCTGACAAAAGAGATGTGTACAAATATGCTGTCTGGCAAGTGGAGATGGAGCGGTAAGTACAATGAAGACTAAACGTAAAATTCTCTCTTCCCACTTTGCAGCAGTCGACCGCTCCGTCCCAGACTTTCTCGATGCCTGTCACAGTCCAGGCGTCTAATCCAAGCTCATTGCAGTTCAGTAACCCTGGCAACGCACCGGTAACTACCTCCTATGTAACATCATCATCGCTCACGGATACCCACCTCCTGTCGCCCCAGCAACCGGCTCTTCAAAGAAACACGGTGTCTCCAGGGTTGCCACAGCGACCAGCTAGTGCGGGTGAGTGAGCGAGCAATACCCTGCCTAGTGGGGCAAGACTGAAGTTGTCAGTACATTTGATGTTCAATTTACATCGTACTTCTTCTTTAGTGGTGTATGTAAAGAGCTGATTAGTTGTGGAGGGAAAGGTGCTCATTAATCCACTCCTTAGTTCACTGGGCTAATCTGCATTGATGGACATTTGTTGCTTTCCTCAAACTTAATTATATTTGTATGACCTTTAAATTATTATTATTATTATTATTGATATATATCAATCATTAAAGGTCTAACGTAATTCCACATGCTTTCCTCTTACCTAATACTTTTACACGTCGTACCTCGATGAGAAACAAGAGGAAACACATTGCATCACATTTCATTTAGCTGATGCTTTTATCCAAAGCGACTTACAATAAGTGCATTTCAACCATTCTGATACAAACTCAAAAGAACAAAAAGTGAAAGTACAATTGTGGAGTGAATAAGTGAAAAACAATTAGGCCCATATATATAAATGATTGCCATGCATCTTGTTTTTCCTGTCTACGTGCACACCAGTGTCACCCCCACACCTGTAACCAGCGGGCGTGGTAATACACCTGAAGCTGTTTGGTAACTGCCATAAATGCCACAAGAACAAAAGCTTCTGCATTTAACACGCTCGTTACGTTAGCAGTTTAGCAGCCTTTGCTCACAACTATTCAAAACCCAACCCAAACAAATCAAAATAGATTCAGGCGCATCAAGAGTTTTATTGTTTTCATGTTTTGAATGCCCTTTGGAAGCACTGGGGTTGCTGTTTATTTATTTCAGTTTTTTTTTTTTTCTTTTCCTGGATTATGATTAAAGATGAAAAGGTTCACAATATGCAGTTAAATGCAGGGAGGCAAACTATTACAGTAGTCTGTAGTTAAAAGGCTAATGTACAATAAATCATTTGAATTAAAATGGTAAAAGCAATTTTTTTAAGTTATGTGGAGGTGTATATTGGCCGGCTGTGAATGTGGGGTTACTTAAATTTATATGTACGCATATATACACTTATATGCATTAATAATACTTTTTACTAAAATATTTAAAATTAGTTGAAATTGAAAGCTGGTTGTTGCCCTCAGAAACAGCAGTTTTCATTCTATTGGAAATGATCTTGCAGCCGTTCGAATGCCAACACAAGGAAGTTTGTACAGTGAATTGCTATCAGAACATTTGAAACCTTCTGGTGTCTCATTAGTTTTCAGTTCAGATTGTTTATTGTTTTAAACCCGTTTTCAATAGGTGCTCTTCTCGGAGGAGAACTGAATAATTCAAATGGAGGCTGCCCGAGTCCAGTCCGTGAGTAATCTGCTGTTATATTTTTTTCATCTTACAAGGTTTTATCTTGTTTGTTTGTTTGTTTTTTAGTGACACCTTTGTTTTTTTTTAAGGCTAAACGCCAACATATATGGATTGAAGTTATCAACAAGTTCATCGTCATTGGTTTCCTCTTCTTCGCTCCACGTGCACATCCAGCCTCCGTTCATGTGTACTCAGTGAAGCACATTACCGCTGTAGAATGAGTAGACCCTGAATCAAACGCACCTCCCGGTGCTGGCCTCTATAGCGAACCTCTACCATGAATAACCCTACAGCATATTGACGTTTGGCTTTTTCGTGATGAAAACCGACTGTTATTCTAGAGAAAGAAGAAAAAAAAAACATTTGTTGTATTGGTTATTTTTATCGGTCATAGACATTCATCCATTTTAAATGTTACATTTTAATCTTGTCTGAGTTGGTTAACAATCTGTTAACGAGGGTCTGCTTTCAAACAGTCTTTGACAGTCCTCTGTTTCATCTTCACTCATCAGGGCACAATGCAATGAGATTTTGCTTGGTTTTTCTTAAAGGACTATTTTAACCGCTTCCGTTCCCCGCTGTCTGAACTCACCTGTTTGATTTTCCTATTGATTTCTGTCCATTTGCTTCTCTTTCTCCTTGCAGCTAATGGATACACTAGTGCCAGGGCCTCCCCAGGCCTCCTCACTGTTTCCAACGGCAACAGTCTGGGGAAAGTAGTCCCGGCCAAGTCTCCGCCCCCACCTCCCAGCCCCCAGATGGTCAACAGCCGCAAGCCAGACCTCAGAGTCATCACCTCACAGGGCGGAAAGAGCCTCATGCAGATGGTGAGCTTAACCGACTGCCTGGGTCCTTTTTTTTAAATTAACATTTTGAACCTTACGCACAAAAATATCACATCATACGTTTTGTTAACACACTTGGTCACTTGGGATGACAAAAAGTAAGAATGTTACAAACAATAGGAAAACAAAGACTGTAACCCAGAGGCTTTATTAAGGGACATGGGTGGGAGGGGGGGTTGTCAATTATTTTGACTTTTAGGGTCAGGCTTCTGAGAAGTTGCGCAAAAGCTGCAGAACTACCACAAAATGAATCATTGTTTTGTCAGCTATTTAATTTGGTATGTCTGTGATTTCAGGCTTTGTGCATTTACTGTAACTTTTAGCATTAATTTATTTATTTCATAAGTAACTTAAAGTAACATGCTAAACTACAGTAAGTAGTTTTATTTGTAATGTATTTTCTTATTGTAAAAGAAGGTAAGAACTATTTACTTTTAGTCACTAATATTGATCTGTTACCACCCTTTGCAGACAGAGGATGAGCTGGAGTTGGTAAACGAGGTGATTTTTTTCCATCGTCAAGTCACTCGCATGAGTCGATGGCCATCGACTGTCTGCACTCCATTAGCATGGTTACAAACTGTACAAGAGTTTCTCATTGTTTTGGTCTTGCTCCACTGACATTTCTTCGGCGGGCATTCAGCTTGAGGGTCCCACGTGACTGCGAGTGATTAAGGGCTCGTGGTTGTGTTGTTAGGATTACTATGTGATCGCAATGATAGTTCAATAGAAATAGAGCTCGGTAATCTGTACTGTAGCAGAATTGTTTGCGAGGGATCCAGTCTGTTTTGAATCCGGCCCGTTGCCTTTTAATATGTAACACGGCCTTCTAGCATGAGTGTTTCTTGCGTCGGCATTGTCGTGCGAAGCGACGCGGCGCATGTTTCCCATTTACTGACTCTCATTTTCACCAACCGCAAAGTTGGTAAATTACAGATTTAAAAATCCATCATGTATTATATCAAAGGCATTTGAATCCAATGCTTCCCTCAGTTGCATATTTTATGTGAAGCTCCAAAACAACCAACAAAAACATCTTTGTTGCACTCCAACAGATAATACTTCTCCCAATATATATATATATATATATATATATATAAGAGCAATAAATTATTATATTCACCACAAATATATAATTTAAAAAAGTTCATTAGGAAGGCTGCAACTTATTGAATGAGGAGCTTGATGTAATCTATAACTACATTGTAATTCAAAGCTAAATTGAGTGAGCAAGGCTGCTTATTGTCAGTGGCTAGTTTCACTCCACTTAAAGTTGTTGGACAAAAATCTCATTTTTCAGAAGATACTACTTCATCACTCTCGGCCCGCCAACCCCTCCTTACTTCTTCACAAAGACAGCTAATGTAATTTGCCCCACATAAATCCCCCCCAGTTTCACCGGAGTGTCCTGCTACTTCTGAAATCTCTTTGAGCTGAGGTAACAAAACCTTAAAAAAGCAGCAGCTTCAGAGAAACACTGGATAATTAGTTACTTTATAAACACTGAGCAAGCAGTCTCTCCCCCCCCCCCCCCCCCCCCAAAAAAGGCCACATAATTAAAACGCTGTTTAATCGGCGTGCATAGCGACATCAGCGACATGCTCCCAGGCCTGTGGCGACATCCACTGGAGAAACGTCACACGAGCTGCAAATTAAGAAAAAGTCAGAGCAACTTAAAAGAAAATCTTCAACCAATTGTTAGTTTTAAACTGAGTGGACAATTTTAGATAATCTATAATGTATTTACGATCAAGCTACAATCTTAAATGCATGTAAATCTTTTTTGTTTATTGTGATGGTAAACTGAACTATCTATACGTTTGTCTCTTCAGACTTGAGCCTGATCAGTCAGGCGTTTTATGATTATGGCCCGTTTCTTAGAGGAAACAATTAAAGGCTGATTAATTGTTTTCAGCACTAGAAAGTATTCTATTCCCGTATACATGTTGAGAATCAACATTTCTTGTGGAATTAATTTAGGCGTTGAGAATATTTAGAAATGATTGAGTTGAACACATAGTGAATATGATAATTTCACCAAAGACACAAAGTTTGCTTTAACAACCTAATTTTAGACCTTTTTATTGAATTGAAAACGTTAGCCTTAGTTTAGCATTGATTTATAAACTACAATGTATCTGGTTAATGTTGTTCTCCCTCACTCTAATGAATGCATCATCCTTAAAAATATAAAATAAACTGCTTCATAAATGTTTCTGAAGGTTTAATACATTGCCTTTAATGTAATACGTCTGTTTCTTGCACACTCAAAACAAGGAACTTGTTTGATGCATGACGTCACGAACTTCCCGACAGTAAATCCACTCGACTTTGAGATTTACTTGACCCAATCCATCATTTTCAATTTAGTCATATGCACATTGCATTCCCAGCATGTCTGAACGACCATGTCGAAACGATCACCGCATCTGGAGATTGGTTCCAGCGGTGACTGGCGTTTCTGTGTCTTCCTCTGGCAGAACGCTCAGCGGTTGGCAGCAGGAGCCCAAGCGGCACAGAGCCTGACCACGCCGGTGGTGTCTGTGGCCACGCCGAGCCTCCTGGCACAAGGGTTGAACTTCTCCGCCATGACCACGGCATACAACACAGGTGAACTGAAAGCAAAGGAGCCAAAACATCCTTTAAAGCTCTGTGTATCTTTTAAAAAAACAAATCCTGGCTTTTTATTTGATTTTTACTGCAAAGAAAGTCTGAACAATAAAAACTGACAGAATTAAATAAAATCTATTCTTCTCCCTCAGAGTACCAGCTGACCAGTGCAGACATCACAGCTTTACACGCTCTGGCGTCACCTGGCGGCTTGTTGCCAACCAGTGTGTCCACATGGCAACAGCAGCAGGCTGTTTCACAGCAGCAGCAGCAGCAGCAGCAGCATCAACAACAGCAGCAGCAGCAGCATCAACAACAACAGCAACAGCAGCAGCAACAACAACAGCAGCAGCAGCAGCAGCAGCAGCAACAACAGCAGCAACTTAATCTTGCTACACTCAGCAACTTGGTGTAAGTGTTTTATCTCTCATTGCTGCTGTGTCGTTTATTTAAGTGAGGTTTCTTAACAGCGCCGCCGTCATTCACATCCAGTGTCCGGCATGATGATTAGGAGGGGGACGATGATGATGACGATGATGATGATGATGATGATTACAATAACAGAAGGCTGTTGTTAACCCTCTCTCCGTCTAATGAAAACCCTTTAACGCTGAAACATTGTACTACTTACATTACCAGTCAGCTCGCATGAAATCCATAATGCAACCTTTTATGCGCAATCAACTCATATCTTGTTAGTGAATTGGTCTCACCTGCATTTCACCATCTCCTCATAATCTATCTGGTGTTCAGCGTAGTCATTTTTATTTCCCAGAGGTCCTTCATTAATTGCATACATTTGAAACTGCAGTCTTTTAAAATCTTTTGGTGGATAGTTTACATTCACTCTGTTATATTTAGTTTGAATGATGTAAAAATACTTTATACTATTTTACAATGTAAAATAGAAGTACTATAAGTCCTTCTAGTAATGTTAGGCTACACATTTCTCACTACTTCAACTGACACTTGGCTATGAATAATCTTTCTATTCGTCAAAATGGCAACACAGTGGCCATGCGCCTTATGCAACCTCACTTCAATTTCCTACAGTTTTAAAGACTGCTGCAGAAGAGAAGAAACGATGGACATCTTGATCTTTTAAAATTCATCGTTTAAGAACAAAAACATGTGATGACCTGTTTTCAATGCATTGATTAAAATAGATACCATCTCTTGAAAGTTGGTTATTGCTCCCTGAGCACTCTTTTAAAAGAAATACTTAACTTTACTATACTTTATCTCACTGAAGTACTACTTGAGTAGTTATTATGAAAAAGGTTGACGTCTACATGCACACAAACACGTGACGACATGTCAGTCCAGCAGTGCCAGACAGCAGGCAAAGTAACCGTTTTTTTTTACTTGATTTATAAAGCATGAGTGAATGATGTCAACTAACATTTAAGCCATTACTTACTTATAATAATTAAGTCTTATTTACTTGTAGACTTTTATACCTTTTTCTTCTTGTACCCTCGGAAGTCCTAATGAGTTTTGAATGTCTTGAAGGCTTTAACAAGTCAAAATTAATATCAATTTATTTATTGTGATGTAATGCAACATGGCAGATATTTTTGATATATATATTATTATTACTTTTTAAATATAAGGTTTCATATGAAGATTGAATAAAGAGGAGTGACAAGCCTCAGCATTGGATCAGAAGCCACTGCGGTGCGAGCTGAAGCTGCTCGGGCTGAATGCTGCAGGGTTGCTGTCGCATCTTAGCATATTAGCATATTGTAGCACGTAACGCCAGATCCTTGAAGTGTGTGTGTCCTCTCCTCTTGTCCACAGCATGTGGGGCGTGGACAAACAGAGCAGCGAGCTGTCTAGCCAGGTGTCCAGTCTGGCTGCCAACCTGAGGTGAACAGCCACTAGTGTGTGCGTGTGTGAAATGTCGTCTCCCTGTCTGTAGTGCAGTCCAAATGGATTAATGTTGTTCTAAAACAAAACAAGGTAAACGTTTACCAAGATGCAGCCATACATTCAAAGCACCGGCCTTAAGGATAAGCCTTCTAAACCCTAAAAAGAATAATTTTGGTTGATAAATATCACAACAGATCCACCAAACAATACTTTACTTGAGTAAACAACTTAAGTGCAGCTGCAAATAAGCCTTTTATTGTATAGTGTTTTATAATACTAACATTGTGATTGTCTGCATTAAAAGTGCATTACTGCAGCAAAAAAAGCTATTTGTGCATTAATTATTGTTGACTTAAAAAAACGTAAACATCCAGGTTGGGGTGTCTACGGATTTTTTTTTTTTTTTTTCTTTGACATTATTGCTGTTGTTGAGGAAATTCTGCGTGCAATAATGTTTCACCCTTTTCTGCGCACATGCCTTTTTTTAATCCACCTCTTTTCCTTTTTGGTTTGGGCTCCAACATTTTGTTTTCCCCCCCCCACAGCGTTTGCTCTCCGTCCAACCTGCTCTTGGGTAGAGATGAGTGGTTGGGCCGGTACTGTATCACACTTCCTTTTCTCCTGAATGTCTGTGTGCTTTTGGCTGCCTTCCCCCGAGCATGTCTGCTGCAGTTTGCAGTCAAACAGAAAATGAGACTTCGTTCTGGTTTCCCAACATGTCTCTCCAACCCGATTTTATTTTCTGTTAATCATCTGTAGTTTCTTCCCACCACAGCTGACTCACTGCGAACCACCTTGTCACAAAAAAAAAACATTTTCACGCTTCCTGGGCTGATGTGTTGATCTTTTTGGGAGCAGTGGGCGGATCATTCCCGCTTTGAAGGCTCTGAATTGATTGGATTATTGAATAATGAAATGTGGCTTCGCCCTGTTGGTGCTGTGCCTTGCGACGTCTGTTGTTTTTTTGTCTTGATACCAAGTAAACTTCCGGTTTCGTATATGCCTTTGTCAGGAAGCTAAAAATGTACGTTTTGTTTTCTCACCTTTCCTATTGGTCCCTTATCGCCCTGCCCGCCGTGACCCCGTTCTCAGGTCCGTGACCCATATACCTCAAGGCGCCATGCTGACCGTCAACACAAACCCCGGCGTGAGCATCAAGTCGGAGCCCATCTCGCCCGGCCGGGATCGCAGCACCCCGTGCCCTCCGCCCTCCTCTACCACGCCGTCCTCCACCTCCGGGGGAGCCATTTTAACCGCGCCACCGCAGTACCCCGGCTCCCTGCTGTGCCTGGAGCCCCCGACCGGCCGCTCGCCTGCGGACAGCGTCAGCAGCAACGCCAGCTCCTTCGAAGGCAGCGATCGTGATGACAGTGGGGGTGCAGCTGGAGGCGGAGGCGGCGGCGGCGGAGGCGGTGGAAGCAGCGCAACTGGTGCCGCAGGAAGAGGCGGTCCGGGCAGCCGCCCTGACTTCAGCCCCTCGGCCGAGCTCCTCAGGGCGTCGAATGAACCGGAGCAGGAGGGAGGCAACATCAAGCGCATGAGATTGGATACCTGGGTCACATAAAGTTGTGAGCCGCACCTCTTTGCACCAACAGCCAAGTTTTGGTGAAGCGTAAACCCCCACACCCGATCTTTACCGCCCAGCACCATGTGACGCCACTCACCCGCCTCTGTCCCAAGTTATTAAACTCTCCTGCGTCACCCACACTTATGAGGCTTTGCCAAATATACATTAAGATTTTTTTTTAAAAGTAATGTTTCGGGGATCGCGCTCTGCGTGAGGCGGGGATTGCTAAGCTGGATGTTTCCCCCCTGTAAGTCCTCTCATAAAAGGACAGTAGATTCACTTTCTTTTGGTAGTACTTACACATTTCTTTCACATGCTTTTCACCTTAATGTATTTAAATCAAGCACTGCTGAATTATTCCCAATGTGGTAGTGGCTCGTCCACATCACGGGACTTGTATGACTCTCCACTTCCTGCTATTTTAATCCAACGTGGCTTGGGTTGTGTGTTCTCCATCCTTTTTATAAGTCACTTCGAAACAGCACTTTTTGCATAGAACTTAATGTAGAGGAAGTTTGAGGGCCGCGCTTCTATCCAGCACTGAGCAACCCGACTCTTATAGGTTAAGGTACCGACCCGTCAATGATTCTCTCCGCTGCCACATTTCCCAAACCGTCCTTCACCCAGGCAGACTCGAGCCCAAATGTCACACTCACACACACACACACACACACACACACACACACACACACAGATGATAGAACGACATTGACTAAATATCACCGTCAGGAAACGAGAAACTGTTGATGCTTTTAATTCGCCGTGACGGTCCTCAGACGGGCTCCTCCCGTCCTCTCACCTCATCCTCTTGCAACTTTTGGTAAGTTCTTGCACCAGAAATCCAGCCAGCCACTCGGCTTATGACCAGGAGTAGATGCCATCAAGTTTAATGCTTCTTTGAGCCTCTCTGGTGGCTTTTTTGGCAGTAGAGATTTGGTTCTTTCAGTCCAGATGTTCTTTATCTGTTGGTATTTAGAAGCAGAAAAATCTGTTTTAAAGGTCTGTTGGTTGTTCAAAAGTAGGAATTCTGACTTTGTATAAAAATCCCTCCTATACAATAGCTTTGATGTCCTCTTAAGCTCTCTATAGCTCTCCTTAGCTCTTTGCCGTGTTTCAAACAGTAAAAGGAAAAATACATTTTCTATATTTCTACCGCTTCAGTTGGCGACAAAGTAAAATAGCTTTTCAGCTTAAACGACGTGTATGTACATATGACTATATTTGCATAGACTTTGCTAGGTATCCCTAAAAACAAGCAATGTGTTGATTCTCAGTGGATCTGTTTGCATATACGAGTGTGAATTTGATATGTTTCGGTGCAGGGGTTTCGCCACACTAGGCAGTGCTGGTGGCTCGGACTCGTTTCAGTAAAACTATTTTATGCTAGTGTTGATGGTTTGTGCACTTTTTGTCTCACTCACAGAGGCCTGCTTGGTTGTGGTGTCATCGTATTCTCCTGCCACAATTTTCTGTTTTTAAACCTAAATCAAACCCACAATAAAATTGTCCATTATCACCTAATTATGAAATAATTAGGTCACCGCCGTTCACTTATTGGTCGACTCTTTTCCATATATAGCTTACACAGATTATGCCTTTTCTCACTCAGAAATTAAGTGCTGTGTTGTTTAATTGTATGTTTTCTAGTACAAATTTGTTTGGTTTGAACCATTTGTTTTTGTTTGTGTACAAGTGTACAAAGGCTGTTTATAGCCTGAAAAGAGACTCCTGATTGCTGGACCTTTTTTTTTCCCCCTTGAGACGATGCTCAAAGTGCAGACGGCCGTGTCTGCTGTTTGTTGACTGTTTATTATATAAAACATCTTACACTTTTATATCAGTGTAGGGCAAGTGGACACAGCGTCTTGTATGAATTAATGGAGTTTGGTGTGATTTAGTAGCAGAGTGTGACACTAGTGTTTGGGTTTGTGACAAATATCCACAAAAAACATCACCCCACTGTGCAACAGTTTCACAGCAGTGTTGTTGATGCTTTCCATACGGTAATTTTTACATCCCTAATTCGACAGTGTAGCCCTTTGCTCCGCTGAATTCAGGTTAGTTCTTTTTATTGTCGCTTTATCAATTTAACATGCAACACTTTCAATAATATTGTTAGTCGAAATTGGCCTTTTAAACTAAACTTTTTCCTACATTTTGTGAAACTCATTTCTGACAGTTGGATGAGAAGATTAATAGAAATGTGTGTGTAGTAAATGTCAAGCCAGCACTTCTTGTGCCACCTTTTTATTCTGATGATCATCAGCCAAATTTAGCCGGCCGTGACTTCCCATTGACCGGATGGATATGTGGTATGAAACTTCTCATCCAACTGAAATATAGAATAAGTATATTTCTCAAAATGTGGAACAATATATTTAAACTAAAGATCGTTTGCACCCTTCAGGGGGAGCGAATCCGTCATCTCCATTTTCACATCAACTCAATTTCAGTGGAAACTTTGTGGGCGCTGATGGTTGACTGAAGTGTGACACCACACCGATTTGGCTTATTGATGTACAAAAAGGTTCTCTATTCCAATCTAGCTGTTAGTCACAAGACAATCTATATGACAAATGAAAACCTGCACCCTTGTTACTTGTTGTGTACAATGTTTTTAGACTCACTATTTTTGGATTAATTTGTGCTGGTGACAGTTCCATTGTCTATTATTATATTATTATGGAGCTATTTTATTGCTATTTTGTGTAGGATAGTTATTTTCTCTTATTGACATAATACTGGTTTCCTTTTTTTTTTTTAAACAACTTGCTGAAAATTGCACGATCAGTTATTGTGGTATTAGCAAATGCAATGAAGGAAATACCAGTTAAATGCTGCAGTTTTAATTAAGATAAAGAATATATTTATAAAAACGGGGAATTGAAATTAGTAATTCATGAAATTTGAAAAAAAAAAAAAGTAAATGCATGGGATACAGGTAACAAAACGTATGTTACGCACAGTAATGATTAAGGATATGCATCACAAATGAGTTATAAAACAACTCAAAATAATGTAGCATATGAAATACTAAAGATGAAATTTATAGCTAATATATTGTGTTGAGCTAGTCTTTTTGTTTTTGTTGTAAAGAAAATAATTTGTTTTTTGAGTGATTTACAATTTGTGTATATTTTCATATACAAAGTATGCACTGATGTTATTGAAATTCTATACCGCTTTTACAAAAAAAAGTGTTTGTTGTACCAAAGTATCCAAGTCCCTTGAAACCTTCCCCTTTTGCGTATGTTTTACCGTATTTTATATATTAAATAGACGAACTGAGTGAAATGAATTGGAGTTTGTGGTTTTATTTGAATGTTTTCTCCATATCAACCCCAAAGGTGCCTCTAAAACATTTCTTACTAAGACTGTTGTACATATAATATCCAGATATATTAACTTCAACAAGGATGTATTTTAAATTGCATTAGACTTTTGATGTTCTTTCTTTCAGTGTGATTTTCCTCTTCATCCTCCCCTTGGCTCATTGTCAGTTACAAAAGTGCTGCAGGAGGGAACTTTCACGCGTTGGCTGATAACTACACATCTATATTTAGCTGATGTCTCATGACCTCATGTGAGTTAAACAGCCACTGTGTGAGCGAGGCAAGAACTAAGTGCACACGTGGGAAGCAATATTTTAATGCTGGAGCAATCTGGATGTCCGTTTTTGGCTTTCAATACGTGTACTCAAATCCTGTACTTGAGTACAAGTAGCTACACTGGATAACTAGTAAAATCACGTTAAGAAAGGGGCAAATGTACCAATGAACGAATATATTGTTAAATCAGTTAGTCATTTATGGGCTTTTGCAGCAGCGAGATTGGAGGTTGTTTTCAGTCCATTCTTGTGAATGCAATATAGCATAGTATTGCATGTAATGTATTGTTTACCATAAGGCATGTTACAATGTAGTAAAAAAAACTTATTGATACATGATGAATTATGACTCAATACTTTTCCACATGCTACACTTTAAACTCTGCACTATTAGTTTGCAGTATATACTATGACTAATCTTGAGTGGGACTTTAACCTTCTTGACTTTTATGCTATATTATGGCTTTATTAGGGGTTAGGTTTTAGTACATGCTATACTGAGCATTTTAACAAAATGCTATACAATGGATTTTTTGAAATGCCCAAATTGCAACTTGATTTGACATGCTAAACTCTTCTACATGTTTTATTTAATTATATACTAAGAATTGTATAGATTATCATACCAAAACTTACGGTAAAGAATGTCATAAAATTTAATACAAAGGTCATTCTTATTGTGGCGACTGCAACTAACGACTTAACCGGTCAGAGCGAAGGTGCTTCCTCCCATTTTAATTACAATGAGAGACATGGAGACGGCCAGACGGACTGTTTATTAGTTTGAGTGTACACAATAAAATATGAAGTAACCTTGATAGAACTGTCAAGTGTTTTGCAGCAGAGTATAAAAATCTCGCTATGTTTTAAACTAGTCTTTTTAATAGGTTATGCTTAAACTTTACAATTAGTCTTTGTTTAGTTGTCACTTTGATTAGTATGTCGAAAGAAGCTATTAAAGTCACTGTATAGTATGTCAAATTAAGTATGTTGCCAAACGTCAGAAAAACAACATGGTGTCCGTTTAGTTTGGCATGCCGTTACTTCAACATGAGTAAGATAGTATTCCGAGGAGCAGGATTGTGGGAGGTGTCTACATACCTGCCAGAGGGCTCCGCCCACTCCTTCAGTAGACTCCAGATGTGGTACGATGCACACCTGGAGCGCAGTTGAGGGAAAGTTGCAGCCAAGAAAAGTTGGTTAGCGGCCCGGCACCAAGTGTTTTCACCGTGTCCAAGCTTGCTAGAACTCACGACTGAGCCAGATTTTGGTTTTGTTTTGGTAAATTGATCAGGAATAAATCCCAACTGGAATCTGCCCGTGTGTTTCACCGCCACTAATTTCTGTGTCCTCAAAACCGTTACAGTAATGTAAAATGTCATGGTACAGAATGTCAGAACATAAATATATATATATAATGATAGAACTAAGATTTCATGGTATGGAATTAAATGATTTGGGGTGTTTTACCATTATACTTCAGTTTCTTTCCTCACCTGAATTATGACAGATGACCAAAATTTACAACAAAACTAACATTTTTCCCCCTTAAGTCATTTGAACCTGAATCACCAGATGCTGCGTATTGTTGAGTATCACATTTGATATAGTTTTACTAAACAAGGTTTTAAATATATAAACTGAAAAAGTTACAAAGGAAATAAACTAGACCAGCATCACTTTTTAATAACAAAATCTTACATGAAAACCTTTATGTATCTCATTTACTTCACTTCTTTAATATGAAAGTTTTCCAACTTTTATTGTCACATCCAGCAAACAACGGATGGCTCAAACTAAAATCTGATTCTTTCAAGTCAACAAAAAAGGTTGAGACTGTTCAAAGATTTGCGATTTAAGGTTAGTCACATGAAAAAATAAGGTATTTCATTTTGGATGCACATCAAGACCTTTTATGTAAACTTCCTCATGTAAATAAGTGCATTTCTTCTTAGGCAGAGATTCAACATATACATTATTGCACAACATGCGGTCTTTGATTTATTTTTTTAGAAACATTAAAAGTTATATTTGAGTGTTCAGAAAATCATTTTTTATACTATATGTTTTTACTGGTAGTGGCTTTATAAGCAGTCACTGTTGATACAAACAGAAAAAATGACTGCTGTACAACATTAAACGCATTAAATACGACCAATGTAGTCACTTGCAGCGTATCATTATCAATTCAATAATAAAAATATCTGCTTCCCCAGTTGTTGCAGCATTTAACTTCCCTTTCTGTATTTATGGTAATCACCTGCCAAAATAGACGTTTACAGTTATTTGTCTCTTAACTCACGGCCTTCAACCCCACCAGCGCAGCTTGGGAGGAGGAGTCGTGGTTGGAGGTTCAACTTCGAAAACTGCCTCTCGTCCAACTGAAGAGCAGACAAAGTACAGGTTGGTGCCCAGCATGACCAGTATGGGGAAGAATGAGAAGCCAAAGCCGAGGCCCCTGATGCTGCTGCCCAGAGAGAGGCAGAGCCAGTAGATCAGCCTGCAACACGGGAAAGAACAACGATGAGTACAGACGCCAACGAGAGGCACGTCACCATTCATGTCTAGTGCATCATCAGCTCGGTTTGGGTAAATAACGACAAAAGCATCTGATCGCGACCCACGTCAGCTCCTAACAGGCTTTAGCTCCTTCATACCTATCATCATTTTTGTATTAAATGCATGTTACATTCAAAAATTATTGATTGATTATAAAATAATTATAGAAAGGTAATTGTGACCGGATAAACTTCCTAACAATAGTGTGAACAGAATTTGGGCGAGTAAAACATCTCAGCGACTTGCCCGAACAAGAAGTGGCTGAAAATGCCAAATGCCGGCTCAATTTATGCGTTGTTGAAGGAGTTCTTAAGTGCATCTTGAATAACAGGGGATTTGTAATAATCCTTTATGATCAGGTACGTGGTGTAGTTGTGTTGAGCAGCATCATGCTGAGTAAAATAAGTGCATTACTGATGGGAATGAATGATCTTAAGTATGGTAGTAAGTTAGACATATATTTCACCTCAACACACTTCACTGAAAAGTCCCCTAACACCAGACTAATCATCGATTTGTACAAATTACTATCACATGCATTACTACAGCATCATCCAGCGGAAGTTTTATAACCAAAACCTCCTCAACTATTCTTGGTTTGGATGCCAAACATTTAACAACGCGTTGCAGTGAACAAACATACCTGCCAAAAACGAATATGATGGTGAGCAGCGGCACCAGTTTGAGCAGGTCCTGGCTGATGTACGTTGCCATGACAGCGAGCTGCAGGAAGTAGAAGAGGAAGAGGGACAGGGACTCGTTGACAAAGTGCTGGTGCACCGCCACTTCTCGGTTTACCCGATTGCTCTGGTAGAGGGGCGTCAGGACGCTGTAGCGCAGCCGAGCTACACCCTGCACCACCACACCTGCAGAGGGACGAGGCTCAATTTAAATTGGTTTTACACTGCGTGGAGTTTTTAATTCAGCTTGCGGTTTACGGTGTTTGTTTCAGATGACGTAAAGTATTTGCGAGGTCTTACCGAGCAGGATGGGGATGATGGCGAAGAAGGAGCACCGTAGCGTGTACACCACCCTGAGGGGGGTGCTCGCAAGCACGGGGGGGTCAAAGGGCAGGAACACGTAAGCTCCCCACACCAGGAGAGGGAACAGGAGTCCAGCAGCCGCCGTCGCCAGAGCGATCCTCAGCTTGTTGCGGCACAGACCCTCACACAGGTCTGAGGAAGGTTATTCATTGTTGTTTAGAGATTCGTGGGACAAGAGCTGCATCGCTAACCAGTTCGGCCGGATTTCAGCTCAGTTGGCCACGATCGGTCTGATTGGTCGTAGATATCGCCGATTCTGTGTCAGTTGCATTTAGATGCATCACGCACCACACAATAGTTCACAACACACCCATAGTGGCACACACACACTAACCAACGATTGTCACAGTCCGTAGAGACCATGGCGCATGGTATGCCGCTTCTCCCCCAACGGCATGTGCCGTTTCTTAAAGGCAGATGCCACTTGAAAGTAGTCTGTCCGACTGATACATTGGTTCTGCTTGCTGGTCCTCATGCAAATCAGTCTCTACTTGAGCACTGATACCTGGAGTGAATTATTTTTGGATTTTCTCATTTTAAATTAGAAAATTTTAATTTTCAGATTCTTTCCTGACATATAAGAACAACAAATTGAATTTACAATTAAGGAAAAGTTACAGAATGTAGCAGCGATTTTAATGCTCATCTTTCTTTATCCGGCCTTAATTTATTTGATTAAATAGATGTTTGAGGAGGATTTGGGTAAAGTAAACATTAAGAAATATGATACTTTGGTGGTCTGTGTTTTTTTTCCTATTCAGGGCAAACATCTAATAAATGCTGTGTTGTAGGTTACTCGTACAATTTAATGAATGTGTCACTCCCACAGTTTGTTTTTATACTCACAGAACTTGTCGTCCTCTTCTGTCCACTCTGGATGAAAGTGCAATGCCGAGTTGTGCTCCTTCCCGACATCCTTCTCGATGATCAGCCTGCTCTCCTCAGGAAGCTCTTTGCTGGACGGACGCACAATTGTCACTTGTGGGTTGAAACTCAAAGCACCTTTCCCTGAAATCCAATTTGACTTTTCTCCCTCCTCTTCCTCCTCCTCCTCTTCCTCCTCCTCCTCTTCATCATCTGCCAGAGAGCCATCCCCATTAATGTCCCGCTCCATCTCTATATCGTCGTCCCTCCACCTCTCGCCCTCAGGCATGCTTTCCCTCCACCTGCTCGTTCGGTCCTTTGACAGGTCCCGGCCTGCTCTGTAGAGCTGCTCTGTGTCTTTGGGCTGAGGAACTCCTTTCTCTGACCACACCCCGTTGTCTTTGTCTGTCTGAGGCCTGTTGTCTTTGTCTCCAGGCCACGGGAGAGTGGTCGGCTCGAGATGAGCAGAGGTGGTCATTTCTTCTTCCTCCTCCTCCTCCTCCACCTCCTCATCATCATCATCCTCCTCCGAGTCCAGTTCTTCTTTTTCCTCGCCTGTAACCCATCTTTCCTCTATGCTGTTACTCCCTTCTGGCTTTTTACTTCCTGTTATTTGTGGCTCTGCAGGTGGGAGTGCCATGTCCTCACTTAAACCTGTGACTAAACCACCTTGGCCAGACATGTTTTTATTAAATCTTCCCTCTGTTTAGTCAACTGTTGCGTTGTCAAGATTCTGATTTTCAGCAAAGTGTCCCGCAGCTGATAAAAGTCATTGTCGTGGATTTCTGTGAAAAAAGAACAAAATAAAAAAAGAAGAAGAGTGAAACAAAGTCCTGCTTTGACAATCAAAGTTCACAGATTATCACGGGTGTGTTGCCTCTGCACAGGCCGACATGCTGATTACAGCGTGTTTGTCCGTCTTGTTTGAGCAGAAAGTCAAACTACTTCCACTTAAAAAATAGCTTTATAATCACCTTTATTTAAAGTATTAATCAAATGGTGACAAAATAAAAACAAAAGAACTCCCAGACACCAAAACAAAGTACAACAAATAAGGCAATTAAGAGGGAATTGGAAGCCATGTCAGCTTATTTGATGAATATACAAATCACTACCTTATTTCACCATGGCTAATAAAATCTAAATCATAACGATTAACTTCATTATTAATTAATCTTACATTTTTTAAAAGGATGTAACCTACACTACTTTCTAGTTTCCGCGTTTCTAGTTTCAAATCTTATATTTTCAGATTCACTAAATAAATAAATAAAAAAAATGTATTCAAAAAAATATATAAAACAGTCAAAACTATATTCAACCCGAGAATACTTTTCGTGCACTTTTTTATTTGTTTAATACATTGTTGTATTTTCAAGGTTCAAGACCAAAACTTTAAAACTTGTTTTTAAAATGAACAAAGCTTTTGACCTGGATTTGGCTCCATATTAAGACCATGACGCTTCCTATGAACTGGCAAGTCATGGTGACCTGACATGACCCCGTGACCCGAATACAAGAGAAAGCGGTATATCCACATACTTGTAGCAGATGCATAATACGCGAGTATTGCGCAACCAAATACCGCTTCGACGCCGACCGAACCGCCTTTGTGACGCCAGGAGCACGTTGTTTGTTCAACTTCCCACCGGCCAATTATTAACAGGAAGCGGCGTTTCGCTCGGGCCATAAAGCGAGTGACGGGCGGTGAAGGCCGCATTCCTGCACGCACACACACACACACACACACACACACACACACACACACACGCACTTTGCCTGACAGAACTGCAAGTCTTCCACAAAAGGCCTCGGAGACCCTCTCCGCCCCCTTCAAATGTCCCCCTTCAAACCACGTCTTTAGTCGCCAACTTCCAGACTTTGTTCGGATTGACGGCGTGTTTCAGTCGCACAGACAGGTGAGGAATTTAGTTCCTCGCTTCAGCCGAAACCTGCCTGGCGGGCGGCTGTGAGACGTCGACCGCCGCGTCTCCACTGAAACACGTCCACGCGTGTTGACCTTTCGTTCAGCCGACCTCGCGCTTACCTGCGTGGGCTTCATCGCCGAGAAGAAACCACCCGTCAGTCCGCCCGCCTGGTCCGGAGCAGCGGGAGCCCTCGCTTCGTCACACAGGTGGAGCGAGGAGTCACCCGGCAGGTGTAACGAGCTCCTGATTCCCGAGAGGGGGATAAACAGCGGGGAGGTGTCACTCCGCGCGGCTTCCAGCGAGCGAGAGAAACGTCGGCGCGGAGACGCGCCTCGGCCGCGCGCTCACAGCGATAGGAAACTAACTGGTTTTTCATGACCCTAACCCTTAATCATTTGGGTTTTACGTTTAATAGTTCTGCAGTCTACTAGTGGAACCTCTACTCTTGACTTCCGAATGTGTGCTCGTTATGTAAATACAACTAAATAGTTGTATTGCTCTTTTTTAAGGGGTTCTCTTTAAATTTAACAATGAATTTACTCAACTAAGCACCTCTTGGGCTAATTATGAGCCTGAGACGATACCTCAGCGTGAGGTGACAGAATATAAAACAAAAATCCAGAAAAATCGCATTGTAACATACTGTACATAACATTATGTAACCTTTTTTAGTCACCATACGTTTGCTGTAGCTCATGTTTGCACTCCTCCAACCAGATCTTCTCAAGATCCTTCAGGTTTCCTGTCTGTCGCCGGGCAACACAGACTTTCAGCTCCCTCCGAAGACGTTCTACTGGGTTCAGGTCTGGAGACGGGCTAGGCCTCTCCAGGACCTTGACTCCTTAGTCGCCCTGGCTGTGTGTCGTTGTCCTGCTGGAAGACCCAGCCACGACCCATCTTCAATGCTCCTTACTGAGGGAAGGAGGTTGTTTGCCAGTATCTCGCAATACACGGCCTCGTTCATCCTCCCCTCAATACGGTGCAGTCTGTCCCCTTTGTAGAGAAGCATCCCCAAAGAATGAGGTTTCCATCTCCATGCTTCACGGTTGGGATGGTGTTCTTGGGCTTGTACTCATCCTTCTTCCTCCAAACACGGCAGGAGTTTAGACCAAAAAGCTCTATTTTCGTCTCATCAGACCACATGACCTTCTCCCATACCTCCTCTGGATCATCCAGATGTTCATTAGCAAACTTCAGACGGGCCTGGACATGCGCTGGCTTGAGCAGGGGGACCTTGCGTGCGCTGCAGGATTTAAATCCATGACGGCGTAGTGTGTTACGAATGGTTTTCTTTGAGACTGTGGTCCCAGCTCACTGACCAGGTGCTGTTCTGGTTCTGGGCTGATCCCTCATCTTCCTCATGATGCCCCACGAGGTGAGATCCTGCATGGAGCCGCAGAGCGAGGGAGATTGACCGTCATCTTGAACTTCTTCCACTTTCTAATAATCGAGCCAAAAGTTGTCACCTTCTCACCAAGCTGCTTGCCTCTTGCCCTGAAACCCATCCAGCCTTGTGCAGGTCTACCGCTGATGTGCTTACACAGCTCTCTGGTCGTGGCCATTGTGGAGCGGTTGGAGTCTGTTTGAGTGTGTGGGCAGGTGTCTTTTATACAGGTGATGAGAACAGGAGGGCTTCCGAAAGACAAACTAACAGGTCTGTGAGAGACGGAGTTCTTACTGGTTGGTAGGTGATCAAATACCGCTAAAAAAATTTCAGGCATTTCATTTCAACAGCCTATCACAAACCCAGATAGAACGCTGAAATAAATATGTGGACACACCAAAGGCCCATTTGGCAATTAGAAACTTTAATTGTTTTACACAATCCTAAAAATGTTTATATACATCAAGTAATCATGAAGAACAAGAACTAAAAACGTTCAAACAAGGTGCCAAAAATACAAGGGAATGAATTACTGAAAATCAATCTAATCACAAAAATTATAATCTCATGACAGGGAAGAAACAATGAGAAATCACAGCTACTTGTCAATATTAAGATAAAATAAAGAGCAACATCTGAAACTAGGAGAGCATCAGCGCGTGGCGAGAAGGCATTTCTTGCAGAGGCGTCAGACCTGGTGAAGAATGTGCGTTTTGTAAAAGTTGAGAGGCTGATCTGTGTAACTAACTGCTACATTCAAAGCTTTGACAACTCAGGCATATTTAAAAAAACAACAATACTGAAACGGCACGAAGACAATGATGACATTTCAAAACATTTAATCTAAAACGCTCCTTACAGATTTGGAATATAAAAAAGGGCAGGTCAGGGGTTTTGGGTCCAAAGGCAAGGGAACCTGATAAATATATATATATACACATATTCTTTTGTTGGACACTGGGGGGGGGAGACACACAAATAGTTGCACAACACAACATTCAAATATCTCCACCTTTTGCAAACTAAAATTTGCCTACGTCACATTTAGCAGAATTCTTTTTCATTCATTTGGATTCGAGTTTGTGGCCGACAGTCCAGTATACACATTTTTTTTGCTGTGTTTTTCTCAAACTCCTGGAAGAAATATTTGCATCTTTAGCGGCTAAATTCTCCACAGCTAGTTGCCAGTGACCTCTTTATCTAACTTTTAAGTAACTTTAAAAAGGGTTTTCTTTGCTGAAAAGTGCGGCTTCTTGTGAGATCAGCGACATGAACTATAACAGCAAAGTAACATTGGGGTTAAACTAGTCGAAATGGCCGTGAACCTCTATTAAGCCGAGGGGAGCTGCGGAGCCAGAAGATTCTCTGTATGCTCATTGCAACAAGTGACACCTTCTGCATCGGTCAAACAATAATAAATATCCATAACAAAATAACCATTTCTAAATAAAAAGGCATGTGTCCTCGTCAAGTAAATGACAAACAGAAGTCAGCATAGGGTGGGCGAGCAGTCCCATAACGGATCTGTGTGTTCCTAAATCCCTTGTTCAATCTTTACATGATTCTGCGCTGAATTGATCATTAGAATGACAGATTGTACAGAGTTACGAAAGCTGTTGCGATGGAGGGGAGCCGGGAAATGGGATATTGTTTTGACTTCTTCCCTTTGACAAAAAAAAAATACATTAGACAACTAAATGTAAACCGTAACAATTAGTGCCAGTCCAAAAAAACATTACTACTAGTAATATTCAGATGACAGTAAGGAAGACATAAAAAAAAAAAAAAATCACAATAGAACGAGATGGACGTGTTAGTCAGAAAACAGAAGCGCTGCAGAATAGCCAACCAAACGACAAAATGACTACAAATATGTGTATTCATTGACACGACTGTTATCGGTTTTAAACAGGAACTTTTTTGGTCAGATCGGGGCGGCTCATCAAGCCTGGTTACTAACTTCTGAGTCGGCATCCTGATTGATGGATGCATCTTTTTTTATCTCCGCCTCCTCTTCTTCACATTTCAGTGCCACGGGAGCTGAATCACTCTCTGCTGTCGAATGGTCGGCATCTGCACTGTCGATCGGTGCTCCCCTTCCTGCTTTACTGCTGTTGACTGAACCTTTAGGACGGCCCCTTTTCCGCGTCGGAACAGCATCACTTTTTGGAGCACTTGGGGGACGGCCCCTTTTTCTCTGGGGTTCGACACCGGGGTCGCTTGGCGAGGGTGAAGATTCAGACAAACTCTTACGCAAGTGAGCGCCTCTCTTGGACTCTGACTTGTGAGGCCGACCGCGGCTTCTAGGAGGGGCTGGTTCTGACCCCTCTGCAGGATCAGCTCGGGGGTATTTCCTGGGCCTTCCCAGCGGCTTCCATACTTTGGGCTTTTTCAGCTCCTCGGGGTACTTCCTTGGTCTTCCCCTTTGGCCTTGTTTCTTGTTTAAAGAGCCTTTGGGGCGACCCGGCCGCTTCTTAGCCGGCGGGGAGCCATCCGTTTCTTGTTTGATCTTTTTCGGCCTCCCCCTCCCTCTTGGAGGGCTCTCTGCGTCCTCTCCGTCCTCACTGCTCTCCTCCGTCTCTAGCCTGGGCTTGTTATCGGGAGAGCGTCTCGGATTCTGACGCTGTACAGAACTGCCTCCGTTCTCTCTGCTTGTCAAACTTCCCGACTTGCGCTTCGTGGATCCTTTTGGACGACCCCTTTTTGCTTTTGGTGCATCAGAGGCACCGTTTGGTAAGTCTTCAGCATCGTCACAGGTGCTTTTGTAGAGAGATTTTTTGGGGCGGCCTCTTTTCCTAGGAGAACGGTCTGCTGTTGGACCGTCTTCATCGCTGCTCTGTTTGTTGGGCTCTTGAGTTTGCACAGAATTAGCGGCGAGGTCGTCTCCTGATCCTTCCAGCTCTGTGGCTTTCGGGAGTTTCGGACGTCCTCTTCCCCTCCGAGGAGGTTTGGACTCACTGGTGAAAATGCCTGAAACCTGCTCGGTTTGGTAATGTCTGTGAGAGAAACTTTTAACATCTTAAAACCGTGTGGCCTAACCCTTCCACTTTTAACTGGACTGTTATTGGACTCCTCTACACTGGACTCTCCTTCGTGACTCGGCGGCATCTCCCTGTTCCGTCTCTGCCATCTTTTGGTTCTTCTTCTTAACAGTGGCCGTTCAGTTTGGATTACTTCAGTTGGGGTTTTCACCTATAATTTACAAGAATAAAAAGCACAATTGTTTAAATACTGATCACTTTTGAACTATGTATTATACCACCTTTATAACATAAATAAGTTTGATAAAGCTTGACTTTTAATATTGCCCTTTAGTGGGCCCAGAGATGGCCCATTATTACAAGAGGTGAGTTGTGAAAACCCTGGCGATCGAGAAGAGATGTGGGTTCGATGGCAAGCTGACAGTCACATAGAACAAGCCTGTACGGGTGTGGGGGGGGGGGGGGGGCTCAGTAGCAGATATGTGGTTAAACGATGCACAGGGAAAAGACAGGTTTAGAAAGACGCTGCAACAGGAAAAACAAGGAAATGAAAAATGATTAGGAAAATAACATGACTCGATCCACCCTCGCCCAATCAGCTGTCCGCTGCTCTGAGCACTGCACTCCACACACGGTTGGGGCCGACACAGACCACGCGGCTACATTTAAGTGGAAAAAGTCATAGACCAGAGATTCTGGACTCTGCTTCGGCAGATGTACTCTTCATCGGTACACCAAGTCCCACCACGCACACGCCGAGGACGGAGAACCGATCAACAGCATTAAAGACTATGACAGACTATGTTTTGTCAGCTGACAAAGTAACTGGGCCTGATGAGAGCACAGCACCAGGGCAGAAGACGAACACAAAACATTGGCGGGCAAGTCTTTTGAAAGACGCACATCAGCTTAAGAAAATCACTACGGCAACAGGTGCTTCAGAGCTGAGGTGGGAGGACTCACTCTGGTGAGGGGAGGAGCAGTGGGGGACCGGACCCCAGCGATGGATCACCACACACACACAAAAAAAAAATCCCAAATTAACATTGGATTATTACTTTTAAAAAACTGCACAAATAAGATGCACGCATTGTTTCATAGAATGATGGAATCATGGTTTGGAAAGAGGAGAACGTGGCAGTTTCAGCATTTTACATCAATGTTTGTGGCAGTACGCTTATTGTGTATGACAGGACTTCTGCAGCGACGGGTAGATGCTACCATGACTGAAACATTTACAAGAGAATTCTCAACAGGAGTAAGAGAATCTGGGAAACTACGGCATGCTGAGGGGGAATCAATTGCAGATAGGAAACATTTTAAACTCATATTACATCGAGGGACAAATAGGTTTAGCATTTCTTAAACTGGATAGAAATCATACGGGATGAATTGCAAACATGTTGGTAAAAACTGCTGCTAACATGCAGAGAGCGTTTAAGGGATGAAGCTTGGAAACGGTGCAGCACCTACAGACTTTACAAATAATTATTTCTAAAATACAAAGTTATTTTATGTTTATTCATAGATTTGAATATTGTCTTGAAGCATTATAACAGTCAAACTCACAAAGGACTGAAGATATAGTTAATTTCAGAGAAACTTCAATAACATATACAGCTTTGGCTCTTAACGTAAATATAACTAAAGGTTACGAAGTTACTATTTTGCTAAAGATAACGAAACTAATCCGCAAGAATACATATACGGTCTGCGGGGTACGATTTTTTAAATATTATTTAAGGCAAGATTAGGTCTTATTACTTTAATTAAAAGATGGGTTTTGCGGGGCTTTTATTATTATTCTGGAACATTTTGTGTTCGCTACATATTTACAAATTAGTTACATCTAAAACAATCTGTAATGGGGTCGACTATCAATCTTTTTCCAGCATATAACGTTAGTTAACATTACCGTTAGCTTCAAAACCGATGGCAGTGGGAATGAAAGCTATCGAAGAAAAAGAGGAATTCCTGCAGTAAACAAAATGCGTAACTCACCTTAAATTAATTATCTGTTAGAGCTCAGCTTAATTTTCATAAATTGCCAATTGTCGGAGCAGCGTGTTATTTGAAAGTATTAACGTTAAGCCTTTAATGTGTCTGTGATGGCGGTTTAAATTTGCAACCATTTCCGGGAGTCCGTGACAATTATTAGACCCTGAAAGAAACTGCAGCACAAACTTTAGTTCCGCCTAAACGTCCGTGCGTCGCTACTGATATTTATCATTCTATCATCTTCTTGCAGGTACTACGGGAATATGTCGCATTGCTGCCTTCTTAAGGCTTTAATGTTCCAGTTCAGTCACGCTAAAATACAAATAAAAAACTAAAATATAAAATAAATATATACATTTCATATGCTACCACATATATATAAATTAAAATATGATTTAAATGAATTACTAATTCTTTAAGTGTAAATGATTATTGGACACAAATAACACAACAGACATGTGCACGCACATGTCGTTTTTTAAAGTTTGTATTAGAAATGTTTTCATGCAAGTCTCCTTATGATGATTAAAAAGACTAAAATTATAGCACTTCAATTCTACTTATAATGGCTATTATCTATAGTAAGTTGTAAATCGGCTTATTTAATAAAATTGCACTTTGTTTCTTGTTCTTTTGAGTTTGTATCCTAATGGTGGAAATGCACTTTTAAGTCGCTTTGGATAAAAGCGTCAGCTAAATGACATATAATGTAAAAAATGTTTTTTGTCTCAAACGACAGGGTAAATTCAGTTAAATCGCTCCAAAATGTCCAGTTTATTCCCATCAATTCACTTACATTCCCCCGGAAAGTTTCCAACTGAATATTCCCACAATTTTGCAACTCTATTCGACAACATCCTTTTTACAGAAATAACAAAAGTGACAGACACCACATGAAAATCTAAACGCAGTAATAAAAAGTAGAACGAGATGGACGTGTTAAGTTAGAAAATAGAAGCGCTGCAGAAAAGCCAACCGACTGACAAAATGACTACAAATATGTGTATTCATTGACACGACTGTTATCGGTTTTAAACAGGAACTTTTTTGGTCAGATCGGGGCGGCTCATCAAGCCTGGTTACTAACTTCTGAGTCGGCATCCTGATTGATGGATGCATCTTCTTTTATCTCCGCCTCCTCTTCTTCACATTTCAGTACCATGGGCGCTGAATCACTTTCTGCTGTCGAATGGTCGTCATCTGCACTGTCGATCGGTGCTCCCCTTCCTGCTTTACTGCTGTTGACTGAACCTTTAGGACGGCCCCTTTTCCGCGTCGGAACAGCATCACTTTTTGGAGCACTTGGGGGACGGCCCCTTTTTCTCTGGGGTTCGACACCGGGGTCGCTTGGCAAAGACAAAGATTCAGGCAATGTCTTACGCAAGTGAGCGCCTTTCTTTGACTGTGTCTTGTGAGGCCGACCGCGGCTTCTACGAGGGGCTGGTTCTGACCCCTCTGCAGGATCAGCTCGGGGGTATTTCCTGGGCCTTCCCAGCGGCTTCCATACTTTGGGCTTTTTCAGCTCCTCAGGTGATGGCAGAGGGTACTTCCTTGGTCTTCCCCTTTTGGCTTTTGGTTTTCTCGGGCGACCACGCTTCCATGGTTTGGCCTTATATGCAGGTCGTTTCTTGTTTAAAGAGCCTTTGGGACGACCCGGTCGCTTCTTAGCCGGCGGGGAGCCAGCCGTTTCTTGTTTGATCTTTTTCGGCCTCTCTGCATCCTCTCCGTTCTCACTGCTCTCCTCCGTCTCTAGCCTGGGCTTCTTACCGGAAGAGCGTCTCGGATTCTGACGCTGTACAGAACTGCCTCCGTTCTCTCTGCCTGTCAAACTTCCCGACTTGCGTTTCGTGGATCCTTTTGGACGACCCCTTTTTGCTTTTGGTGCATCAGAGGCACCGTTTGGTAAGTCTTCAGCATCGTCACAGGTGCTTTTGTAGAGAGATTTTTTGGGCCGGCCTCTTTTCCTAGGAGAACGGTCTGCTGTCGGACCGTCTTCATCGCTGCTCTGTTTGTTGGGCTCTTGAGTTTGCACAGAATTACCGGCAAGGTCGTCTCCTGATCCTTCCAGCTCCGTGGCTTTCGGGAGTTTTGGACGTCCTCTTCCCCTCCGAGGAGGTTTGGACTCACTGGTGGAAATGCTTAAAACCTGCTTTAACTTGTTTAACTTCATTGAACCTTGTGGCCTACCTCTTCCTCTTTTAATTGAATTATTATTAGACATTTCTACACAGGACGTTTCCTTGTGGCTTGTTGCATCTCCTTGTATCTCAGCAATCTTTTCTTTTATACGGTTGCCGTCAGTTTGGACCACTTCACTTAGGTTTGCACCTGTAAATGAAATGTTGAAAAGCACAATTACTGTTTATTCTGATACGGGGAGATGAAATCCGTCTCTCTGATTGGTTGAGAGTGGGTCACGAGGGGTACATTATTGAGCGATAACGTACAGTTACTGTTCACATTCATCCGAGCGTTGCACATCACTGAGCACTCAAAGTAGCAGGTTAGATTTTACACGACCGTTAGTTAACATTTTAGCTTTTAGCTCGGTGGCGATCGCCAAAAAAACCCGGAAATCCCACAAATGATCGGTTTCGTGCAATGCAAGCTTTTGCAACCGGACAATTAAGGTGGATGTCATGAGCGATGTGAATGAATGAGATGGTGCTGGGCCCAGTGCTGTTTACACGCACGTACGAGAACAATTTTTCTCTAGACTACTGAAATATTTGGTGGCTACAAATATTTTGTCCTGAAAGGCAGCTATTTACTCACTATTCATAATTTTTCTGGTAACTTGAGTCAGTCCTTTGTCTTCAATAATGTAATTGTTTGAGGGTTGCCCAACAACGCCCCCCAACTGTTACATTATTGGACGATAAAGTACAGCCTCTCATACCTGCTTTAATAATAATCACCTTTAAACTATGTATGTTTTATTCTATATCTGTGTGTAAGTTTGATAAAGCAGGACTTATATTTCCCAATAATATCGTAATGATGACTAGAAGTTAGAAGATGAACAAAGAAAAATAACCTGTCTGATGGTGTTGTTTACCTGTGTTTTGATAGAGGCATCAATACTAAATTGAGATGTTTTCACAATCAGTTAAGTTCTTCATAAGGATTTTAGGATACATTTTTAAAATATATCTCATTGTGTTTAATCAGTAATGTGATCAATGATTAATCATAAATAAAATATGAAGTAACGTTATTTCTATGTTATGTTCATTCTGAATGTAAGAGCCGATTTATGATGTGTGTCAGGATCTGATCGATCAGCCTATATGGGTAGGAACCTTTGGGGGCTCGGCAGGTGTTTCCAGCGGGTATAGGAAAAACTGTTTTTGACTTTTAATTGTAGAAGCTAAGCCACCGCTACAAGCCACTGAGGCATTTTGTCGGGAAAACCTAATTGACGCACTGGGTAGTGTCATGTTACGCTCCGGGTGGATGTATGTAAAACGTGTGGTAAGCGTAAGTTGGCAAATAAATGGGACTCGTTTCCAACTTAACACAAAGGCTACAGGACTCTCATTCATCCTTCATGGTACAACAGCAGCGCGTCAATTAGGTTTTCCGGACAAAATGCCTCAGTGGCTTAAAGCGTTGGCTCAGCTTCTACACTGAATATTGTCTGTATTGAAGGAATATAACAAACTGACGTTGCTATTTTCAGAGAAACTTTTATTAATAAAACATATAGCTTTGGCTCCAAAAAAAGCTAATATTGTTTTTCTTAAGAAAACCTTTTTTTTTTAAACCGTGTGGCCTGCCCTTACCTCTTTCAATTGCGTTGTTATTGGACATTTCTACACTGGACTCTTCCTCATTACTCGCCGCATTTCCTCGTTCTGTCTCAGCCATCTTTTTTCTTCTATACAGTTAGGTTTGCACCTGTAAATTCAACATTAAAAATCTGTTATTGTTTTATGCGTAAATCAAACTATTTAATATTGATTTTAAAACCAGTTGTACATGTGATGAAGCAAGGCGTTACTATTGCACTGTAAAGACAAAACATTAGTACGATAAAGAAGGATTAATGAAGTCAAAACAAAAAGATCTCCGATAACTTTGCACCCGATTCAGAATTGTATTTGTGGCAGCAGAACGGTGTCTACATTTGAGCTATGAAGCAATTAGCTATTTGAACTACAACATGGGGAAAATGTAATACAAACCATTTTAGCATTGTAAAAAGGCCAAAAGGTTAAAGTTGGGGAGAAAGAAAGAAATAATTGCCATCTTATTTTATATTCCAGTCCAACTCTCCATATAATCTCCATCGAAGGATTATACATAACGAATGCCTTGATTAATTTATAACAGTTTAAAGTCCCTTTCAAGCAGAAAATAGCGTGTCCACAACTTCTGCACCGTATCTCCCTGGGAGAGGGACTATTTGAGGAGGGAGTTGGTTATACATGTATTTATTTGATACGGCGCTTACTTTCTGCAATAGCTTTAACTCCAATGAAACAAAAAACTATGGGTTGAATTTGGATGGTTGTAGCTCATGTGAGCACACTCATATATTTATATTTAATCCAATCTTACGGGGTTTTTTTTACATTTACATTTTGGAAAGAAACAACATGAAGGATTAGTTGTACATTGCTGGTCTATTGCATGGCGTTTCATATTGCAAAGGGGGGAAGAATTAATAAACGCTAAAGTCAGTAATGTCTTTGGGTCAAATTTTTTTTGAATGTAAAATCAAAACTGAAACGTAACATTACACAAAATGTTAATGCTTTTTGTGAAATGTAAGGTTTTTCACAATTCCTATCCCGACGTACCAGATTGCTTTCCAGGTAATAGTCAGCCACAAAAACGACTGCAATGAAAAGAGTGGCTATGAGCCCGAGCGGATACAGTGGTGCAATAAACATAGTGCATACATCACCTTAATGAAATACTCTGCAGGAGTTTAGCTCCATTCTAAACAGACTACCGACTCATCAGCTAGACCACGAAGTGAAAGTGCGAATGTGGGCGCTTAATGTTGCTGTGACGCGCCATTTGAATTTGCGACCAGTTCCGGTCGTCCGTGCTGTTTAGGAGGCTCTGAAGGAACTTGCCGCACGGAACTTTAGTTCCGCCTTGGCATTAAGTTTATGTTCCCAGCCACCGGGTCCGTGAAACAATCGAACGTCATTCTACAGTATGAGATAGCGCACACTTCAATATTTTTAAATGGTGTGTAGAAGCCCAAAACAACTTATTTGGACATCATGGTACTTTACGTTAAACGATCAAGTGTGCACAGCTAAATTAACGTTGCGTTAGTTTATTGCATGACGTATAATTTCGCAAGGGCGGAAAGGAGTAACACCAATAATAGACCCGTGTATTAATATCAAAATTATTAGTTTGTGTCAATATTATACATATTATGGATTTTTTTATTTTTAGAAAAACGAACCAAACACTCCATTGCAACTGAAGCATCACGCAATAAGTGAAATATAACTAAATATGTAGCAACACAAATGCTATGACAGGATCCTGATGACGATGTTCCATATTGTTTTCCAGGTTATAGTCACCTTCAAAATCGACGGGAATGGGAATAGTTACTGCAATAAACAAAACGCGAACCTCACGTTAAAGGAATTATTTCTTAGAGTTTAGCTCAATTGTCATAAATTGGCGACTGCGAAACCGCGTATGATTTGAAAGTAACGTTAAGCCTTTATTGTTTATCTGTGAAGCTTTAACTATGCAACCACTTTTTACGCTCTGAAGGAAACTGCAAAACAAACTAGTTCCGCCTAAACATCCCCGTATCGCTCCTATTTTTTTTAACCATTCTATCATCTTCTTGCAGGTAATACGGATATTAGAATTAATATCTAAGCATATCTAATGTGCTTAGATATTTATATGTATATGTAAAAGGTCCTCAACCCTTCAACAGGACTGCTATCTGCTGCTTTGTGCAAGGAGGAACAGGTTGAGCACTGCCCGAGCTCTAGAGAATGACCTCCAGCAGGCCAGTGGTGTGACTGTCTCAGCCCAAACAATCAGAAACCTGTGCTCACTGCCCAGCACCGTGAAGCTTGATCATCATTTGCTATAGAACACCAAAATGGGCATGTCCGGATTCTCGTCCGGATTCTCTGGAGAAGCCAAAGAGAACGCTACGCTGCCTGCAGCATCGTTCAGCACGACCGGTTTGGTGGTGGTAGTCTATGGCCGTCTGACTGCCATTAGCTATCGGGATGAAATCCTTGAACCCATGTTCAATCCCTACACTGGTGCAGTAGGTCCCGGGTTCCTCCTGATGCACGACAACGCCCAGCCTCATGTGGCAAGAGTACGCAGGCAGTACCTGGAGGATGAAGGAATATATACAATTGAATGACCCTCACAATCACCTGACCCAAACCCAACAGAACACCCCTGGGTCATTATGTTTTGTTCCATCAGACGCCGCCAAGTGGCTCCTCAGACTTTACAGGAGCTCACTGATGCCCATAGACAGATCTGGGAGGACATCCCTCCTTTCGTTGTCCCATTAGGAGCGTGCCACGAGCTTGTCAAGCATGCATAGAAGCACGTGGCAGCACAAGATATTGAGAAGCGTCATTTTTTCACTTTGATTTTTGGGGCGCCTATAAAATGAAGCCCACTGTGGGATGTCACATCTAAATATGTAGCATCCTTTCATTCCTAAGACATTAAACTGTCCACATCAGTGTAGAAATCCAACATTTTCTGAAATATGTGATTTCAAAGTGTTCCTTTAATTTTTTGAGCATATACACATATATTGTTTAGCCTTGAAGAGGGTCCCCACACTCTCATAACTGTGTCCTCTACTCACCTTATTTAGTTTATCCCATTCCTGTGTGTAATCTCAAGTATCTAACTCCAGATCTACAGATTTTCTGATTAACAGACAGGTTGCACAAAACTCCCTTTCATAAGTCCATAAGAAATAACCCACTCAATCAATACATTCTGTGGTTTTGCTGCAATAGCCTTGCTTGTTCTGATCTGCGGCTTCTGGTGCCTATTATTGCCAAACTTTACGGCATAAATGACAGTAAAGGAAGCTTACTATGATATTTCTCCACTTAGTTCCTACCTAGTTGTTACAATTGTTTTGAGCTCTGCGAGGGTTACGTGGCAGTCTTTAAGTAAAAAAATAAAAAATTGAGTTTTATGCATTGTTTGAGTATAAAAGTAAAAAAAATTGCATTCCATCACCGTGAAACATTTGTATATTCATTAAAATATGCTCAGCCAATAGGATTGATTCATAAGATCCGTTGGCCTTTATTAATTCCACATAGGACAATTGTCACAGCTGCAGAAACACATCAGGTATAGATTAATTATTCAAAATGATAGCTGCTGCAACAACGTCCTCCTTATTCTACTTTATTCACTAACTGTGTATATAATGTGAGAAAGATTGTGTGATAGTCGAGTTTATTCCACTAGTTTTAGCTCATTGTCCTTCCTGTAGCTCACCACAGAGGGGAACCAAATTCACAAAGACAGAAAAGATACTGGGGGGGTGAAAAAAAAGAGGAAAATTAGAGGCAGATTATGTAGCACAGCGTAGCTGGACAAGGGGAGTGCAGGGTGAAAGCAGATTGAGATTGATCAACCAAGAAGAATTTGAGAGAACAGAGGAAAGTGTTTATATTGTGTGAGCAGAGAAGCAGAAAGAGAAGGAGGCCGTCAGCTCAAAAGAGAGGGACGGAGGCATAGAGAAAATGACAGACGTGGCCGGAGGAAAGGAAAGGAGCGCTTGAGAAAGACAACCCCTGAGAGACTGCTCGCTGAACCTGGTGCCCCGTCTCAACCCTCCTCCTCCCTCCCCATGTGCTTTGCCATGGTTACCAGACAGGGCTCCCATGCAGTCGGTTAATGTGTTTTTCAGCGGCAGGAACGAGCTGGGTACTAATGTGTGTCAGTCTGTCTCCTGCACAATCAATGTCAACTGTCCTGGGACGCGCAAACATGGAGGGGGCAGAGAGCCAGGGAACACTGAGCCACCTTGGCCGAGTTTGAAAGAGCACCACGTCACTCTCATTCAATCACCTGAAAACTGCTCCCTCTGCGGCTTCGTGAATAAAATATGTCGAAGAGTTATGTGTTTTCTGTAGGTGCCTAATTTCAAACGCTGATGATTGTCACGCTGTTCTTAAATGTTTACCACACAATAAACTGCTGACTGCGTGAGGAAAAATGTATCCTATGCTGCTTACATACCACAAACACAAGTAAAAGCATCCAATCAGGTTTCAAAACAACATTTTCAGTATTTATTGGATGTACATGGTATTCAACAAAACAACAACTTTTCACCACTTTTATTATTTTATTTATTTTATTATTTTAAGGGAACAAATATTTTCAGGTGCATTGCGCAGCATTAGGAAGACTACAAATGAAAAGGCAGCGAGGGGATGACTGTCTCTTGACTGCAGGTCTTGGATGTTTTCAGTGACTGTGAACAGATTATGAAACTTGTGCATCATACATCGGGGTCACGAACCTTGGCTGTCTTTTAATTGAACCGTTCAAGTGTTCAGCTCACAAAGCTGGCCAAAAGGAACTGCCCCCTCCAGAGAACCGAGTCTCCTTTTGGCTCTCCGTTATGTCTGGAAAGGTTGACGAGTTCATGCAGTGGAAACTGCTTTGTAGATTTACTCCGATCTGTAATTTATATTTCGGACATTTGGCATAGTAAAAAAATGACATTAACTTGGAAGATGCAGCTGCATGCTACTTTATTCCCAAGGACCTCACCTGTGACCTTTCATATCATCACAGGTTAAGGGTCTCAGGGACAATGAAGCACGCCGTCATTCATTTAGCTCAATAAAATCCGCCACGCCTTAAATATTTCTGTCAGCCCCGAAAATGAATCGTCAACAAATATATTTCTGTGGTGTACGCCGGAATGGCCAGGTGCCGTGTATGTAAATTGGGAATTTCCCGTTATTTAAGTGAAATTACAGTAAAATTGCACATTGATACATAATTAACTCCAGATAGATTTATAGAATCTTACAGCGCAACAACAATAGGTGGTTACCATTGTTTTTTTTTATCGATGCCGCTGCAGTCCACCGCGACACGTAGCGTTGCACATCTGTACAAAACAGACTGGATCCAATCCTGCAGAAAGAAGACGGATTTAGTTAGACGACATTGTAAAACACATTAAATGATCAACTGTCGATATTTGTCCGTTTCATCGTCAGGGCCCTTTTACTGTCGGTCCTCCTGAAACAACCGCCTCCGAAAATTCAGTGAAGGTCTGTGCCGAAAGCCATTGGCAATAAAATGCCCCCTGCTGGCAGACAGCTAGACAAAGACACGCAAGTGCAGAGGAAAATCATTGAATTGAAGTTAAAAAAAAGGACGGGATTTTGCATATGTGATGAGGATATGAGCTTTAAGCTCCAACAAAGTGGTGATTCGGTCCAGAGACGCAACTCCCTGCCTGTGCGCGTGCATGAAACATCCACAGACCGCTGTGCCTGGAGCCGCAGACAACGCTGTCGTCTTATATTTCCTGCAGGCCTTATGATCTCACAGGAGGATTATGCAATCACTCCCCCATGACAAAAATGTTTCGCCTTGAGGGAGTAACACTGATTTACTCTTTCCCAGACAAAATAAATGTCACACAAGACTGACGCTGCAAATGCACATGAAGAAAATGAGACGGGGTCCAATCAAGCTCCAATCAATCGTAAGTCTGTGCCGCCGACAGCTTTATTGTCTGCCAACAATTAAGAACTATCACAATTTACTCAAATCTCTCTGTGATCAGGTGCGTGGTCGAGCAGACAAACACGGGACTGCACGAGGGCACACAGCGCATGAGACGCTTTGCCGCCGGGGAGAAATTAAACTCTGTCTTTCTCTGTTTCCTCTTTGTCTCTGTGCTGAGAGATGTTTCCCTCTGTCCCAGTTTCATGAGCCCCACTGCTGCTCTCAGAAACGCGCCGGAGACAAAGACCGGAGGATGAAATTCAGAAGCCAGAGGGAGATAGAGAGAGAAATATTCTCATGTAAAAAATAAATACCCGTGTCATAGAGAATGAACATGAAAGTGAAAAGAAACGAGGGGAAGATGGCGGGTGGTCGCAGTCAGTTGAATCGCTTGTCTGGATCTGTTAGCCGGGCCGTTTAAATCGTTCTCAACTCACCATTTGCCCCTTTCTGATGTCCCTGACGCAAACACACACATGCATTGGTGCACACGTCCGTGAGCACATGCAACAACATATTGCACGTATGTAAAGGAGGTTCACGCACAAAACACAACACACTCTTACGATGAGTTATTGATCCATTTCCCCCTTGACAGAAAAAAAGAGCATCAATTAATCCAGAGGTAAAGAAAAATAACGCTTGATAGAACCTATCCTGCCCCGTCTTCACAGCCTTCCTCCTCACCGAGCGCTGTACGCGGCGGCGAACTGAAAAGCTATTCCCCTCCCGCTACCCCTCCATCTCTCGCTCTCCTCTTTTTGTCTCTCCTCTGCTTCCATCCCTCTCTCAGGCGCTGTCCCTGGCTTTGTTTGGTGCCTGCTCCCCTCTGCCAAGTCACATCACTAATTCTCCAGGCGATTAGAGTCCGAGCAGGCAACGTCTATGAGGCAGGTACGCAACGCGCGCGCGCACACGCATGCGCACGCACACACACACACACACAGCAAAAAACAAACACACACACACACACAAACACACAGACAATTGCATTGATTCCATTATCTGGTGCTGTACCAACACCGCCACTTCCCCCAGCAACCACCAACAGTGCCTCCATCTATGACCCCTTCTATCATAAATCTGTGTCACCTAAATACATCACACACACACACACACACACACACTTATGCGAGCATGCAGTATCTTCAGCTCTTTCTTCCTTTCTTGCCTGAACACTCTATCATTGTCCCCGCCTTCCCCCACTCTGTCTCAGCCCTTCCCCTCATCCTCATCCTCCTCGTCTCACCCTCGCTTTCTCCCGCTCTAACCCTTCTTTTTCAGACGCAGCAGGACGTCGCCGTGTCCACGCTGCAGTCTACGTTCATGCAATGCCATGTCTCTGAATGAGCGTCTGTTACTCTGTCGTTTTGTGTGCGTTTGAACATTGGTGCATTTGGAGAGCGAGTCAACGTGTGTGAAGGGAGGTGTGTGTGTGTGTGTGCGCGCGCACGCACGCACGTCCTCGTGCACAGCGGTGCACTTATGCATCTGTGCGAGTGAGTATGTTTGTTGGTGTGTGAGGAAGGGAGGGAGGCGGTGGGAGGAGGCGGTGGAGGGAGCTCACAGACGGAGGCTGTGGATTTTACACAGCAAGAGGATCAAAGCCACAGCCGGCCCAAAGGTGATTAAGCTCCGAGCCGTTCTGACCAACACTCCTGCTCCATATTTCACCAACACACCAGTCTGCTATCGGCACAATTCGCAAATTCCTGAATATCCTCCCAATCACATGGGAAGCAATACGTGAGCCATTAGAAATTGTGACATGACATAGCTGAACTTTTGCATATTTAACAGAAAACTCCCAAATTACACAATGTTGTAAACATTTCAACAGACAAAGGCAAATTTGTTATTTCTTTATCTATGCAACTAGAGATAAATTTAAAAAACAAAATGAAACTATTAAAAAAAAAAAAGGCAGCAAATATCATCCATGAAATGCTAGTATTAAATTCTAAAACGTGCAGGAAGTGGTCAATTTCATAAAATGGCTAGTGGAGAGCAGCTGTATTGTGACGGATGTGTTTCCTCTTGAGTTGGAACATGCCGGGGAGTCGTCTCTTTGTGTGAGTACAGAAAAGAGCAGCGCTTGGCAGAGATTGCTGATATATGCTCTTTTTTCCCCCTCCTCGCCGGAGCACTGCAACGCAATGCGGATACTGAGTGTCTGAGCCACTAGCCAGACACACTGGGGGACCGGGGGGGTCGGGGGGGGGGGGGGGTGAGGAGGAGGAGGCGGTGGGGGCTGGTTGGGGGCTTGCAGGGAGGAGAAGGAGGCGGTAAGCAAGTTCACATACAGTCTGGGCACACCGTCGTTATCTGCCATGACTACAGGGACGGAAGAGGGAGTGAGGACACTTTGTTGACTAAATGGATGCACGCCTTAAAATGGGTCCCAACTATGCAATATGTAATCAAACCATAAAATAGTTCAACAAAAAGCCAAGGTTATAACATACCGCAGGGTAAATTTCATACTTTCAAACTGTTGAAAACACAGTGCTTTTCACTGTTTTAATTTACAGACAGTCAAGTGCAACCTGACCCATAATGATATGAATTAAATATGAGATCTTTATCCCTGCGTTTCACGTTCTCGCTCATACTCCAGCATATTGTCGCCTAAAGAGGTGTTAGGTATTTCTTCTGCAACGGGTGCTAAAAATGCACAGAAACAAACCGTTATTGATATTTGGCTCTAAAGCCCGTTGGACTGCACCAAGTAATATATCAAAAAGAGCACAGCAGAGCCACAAGAGTATATTGATTCCTGGATTAGCTGGGCTGTTACTATTTCAAATGCATTACATTTACAGTCAGTGCAGAAACTGGTCTGATCTTGTTTTGTAATTATGGGCTGGAAAATAGAAAAAATAAATGTTTTATTATTAATTTCAGAACCAATAATGGATATGGTCTTAATAGTAATGCAGCTACTTTGTCCACCTCTGCTAAAGACATCCATCAGATCTTAAGGACCACGACCATACACACTCCATTACTTTGTCATGTTTAATACACATTGTCTGGTCAGGTAGTTAGATTTAAGATTTAAATGGGTGGCCTGTAGCCCTAAAAATACATCCAAATTGACAACTTTCTGTCCTTGTCCAGGTCCGTCTTTGAACTTTAGACTTCATGAGGTAGCGAGGGATATCCTTTGTCTGTAGACGGGGCGACACCGCGGGGAAAGCTAGAAGGTTGTACAGTTATCTCCAGGCTGTTTATGATGCGAAACCATACAACCAACTACCTCACACCGCAGAGCACCAGAGCAGCGCTGGGGAGTCTTCCTCTTCTTCTTCTTCTGTGCTGAGTCTTCTGTGTCTTTTACTTCTTTGTCATCATAACCACAAGTATTTATAATCCAGCTATTTTTCACACAACGTTACAAAAACGGAAAGTAAAAAACATGTTGGCAACACTTGGAATTTAAATAAATGGTGAACTGGTGAATTTACTGCACGAGAAGCCTTTTTGGGGAGTTGTCTCCCTCTTGTGGGTATCCTGAGCACCCCCCCCCCCCCCCCTCCTCCCCACAGGCCCCAGCAGATCGGTACGTCTCTGAATACAAAGACAAGCACTTAACCTGCAGCCGCTTTCTGGAGGCGTCTGCCTGACCTCGATGTGCAACCGGTGGAATCTTCCTTCGCCTCAAAGCTCTGCTGAGCAAACTTCTTTGTCGCTCCAAGGTTGAAGTTAAAGATCCTCCTCTTGTTTTCATTTTACTGAAGCAATGGTTAGATTCCAGTGTCATGGCGTCAGAAGAAGGCTGGTGTTAAACAACACGCCTTCAGCGGGTTGTAGGAGGAGGATTTGTGTATTAACTCAAGACATTTTGTCCACAAATATTGTAAATATTTAGAGGTACATTAAAGCTGCAACTGACTATTCTTTGTCATTATGTTTATGGCTCCATGGCACGATGAATGGCCTTGCTGTGGGAAGTTGGTGTACAAAAATAAATTGGTCTTCCCTTGATTATGTTCCACATTAAGTGCTCGCCTGAGTGGCTGAAAGACCTTGAAGCGCTTTGAGCGGTCAGAAGACGAAGAAGAAGCTGTATAAGTACCGTCCATTTACCGTTCTCCACAGGACTCGGGGGGGTGGGGGGAGGGCACTTTTGGTTATTCACAGACCGGAAGTGGGACTCCCGTATCCCCGTTTATACAATTACCGCACCTCATCCCCAGATGCCCCGCCGTCAACTCTTTTGCCTACTTGCGATCTCCGGCTTGAACGTGAAATACTTTTCGTGTTTCATTTAAATTATTATCAAGATCTCTCCCCCCAAGGGGCTAAATATTCCTTGGAAATCTATGATAAAACTGACTTTGTGGGGGAGGATCATTATCAAGTGTTCCCAGACAGAATAGAGGAAGTAGTGAAGAAACATTAAAGAGGGCGAAAACGTTGCAACTGGCCGCGAGCGAGTCGGATGGAATGAAGAATGAATGAATCTGACTCCATTTCTGTTGTCAAAACGTTTCATTTTCTCACTGTAAATAAAGATAACTGAAGTATGTCATCCAGATTGTGGGCTGTTAATGTTTGTGTTTATCTACTTTTGCTCTTACCAGAATCGTGGGAATGAGGTCAGATATCTTGCCGCATTAAAAGCTGATTTGCACTGTTTAATAAGGTACATTCTATGTAAGGCATAAATTGGTGGAATTTGAGAGCAGTTTCCAACACAACAAAGAGGATCTAATGGGTGTGTAATTGCGGACAAAATTGGAGTAACAGCACAATCCAGTCGATCGCTCTCATACACCAAAAGTAATGAGGCACACCCACACATCTCGCTGAGGTGATCGCCTGCAAAAGCAGCAATTTATCTGTTGTTTGTGGTCAATGGCTGTGTTTTGACACTCCTCAAGGACTCATTGATTACTTGGTAGCTGCTGTGCAGCTGAGTGGCTTCGCCTCCTGTTCAGAATTTGGTTAATGCACCAAAAAATGTAACCTTTAAGTCTTCTATTACTGAAGCTTCACCAATAAAGCTGGATTGAAAACATAAAAGTGGTACAAAGCTGACTTCTCCAAAGCAAACGTACTCTACAGACTGCCTGGACCAGAACTGCGTTTGAATATGTACGCCATGTTACAGGAAAACGCGAATGATATACAAAAATGATACGGCTGTGTTAAGTCTTGCTCAATCACATAATGGACATAAAAGCCATTTGTAATCAGTCTCAACCTACTAGCGTTAAATATTCCACATTTACCCATTATCAAATAAGCCAACTAAGTGTGAACTTCAAAAGGTACGGCGGTGAGATATGCTTAATAGAGACATCGATTTTTTTCTTTTATTGGCTAGCTTCCAAACACAAACCCATTCACCTCGCCTCTCTGCACTGCCCTCTGCCATGCTAAAAGCCCCCCCCGCCCCCCCGCATACCCTTCAGTTCCTTTATTTGACTGTCCTTCCGCCCCTCCTAGTGCCGCTTGTTTGTCCTCCATCACTGAACATTAGTATTTTCTTTTTTTCTTTCTTACACAATCTCCCAGTTCGTACCATCAAAGTCTCCCCCCCGTGATGTCCTTGATTCCACTCCTCCCCTTTTTAAACCGCTCTCACCATCTCATTCGCAGTCGGAACACGCATGAATGCGGCATGGTTGTGCCAATGCCGGCTCTTTGCCAATCCGCCTGGGTGTGTTTGTGTGCCAATGTGAGCCGGGTGGGAAGCCCCTGCACCGCTTGCCAGGGTCCCGAACCCGGGCCGGTGGGGTCAGATGAAGCTTTTGATGGGATTACAGTTCAAATCAATCATGTTGACCCAAAGTGTGTGTGTGTGTGTGTGTGTGTGTGTGTGTGTGTGTGTGTGTGTGTGTATATATATATATATATATATATATATATATATATATATATATATCATAAACCACAAGATTTGGCCCATGAGGACGCAGATAATGCCAGAATGCCGAGCGGGACGAGACATTTCATAATGTCCTGTTGATAATACATGTATCAAGTGAGATTAAAGTGGCATTTTCTAATCACAACCAGTTTATACATGCTTATACAGGTGTGTGATTATAGAAATATATATGCGGATACTGCAAATAGAGACTCTGAAAAAGATTTTTGAAATCCGTTTGTTTTCACTAAGAAAATGTAAAACATATGGATGCATGACGGATTTTACACAAAATATGTTAAACAACAATGGCCTGACAGAAGTTGCCATCAACTGCTAAAGAGCTCATGGTGTTTTACACAAAAAACAAGAACCAAAATATATTGACAAACCTAAAGACATAATAATGACAGATAATTACTGAAAGCAAGCGCTAATTATTTCTTTACGGTGTGTGCCGATTAGGCAAAACAAAGACTTCAGGTGACTCTCCACCACTCATTGTCTTTGAGGAGAGACGCAGAGACAGTGAAGGGGCACAGACGAGGGAAATCTGCCCAGTGACAGCAAATAAACTGTTAACCACAGTGATGAAACGCCTGGCGAGTGCCAACTCAACAGGAATGCAAACCTCACACGGCGCCTCTCAAACGCCAGGCCAAGGACCGCTGAAGGCAAAAGGTCATTTTGGTTCTTTTTTTCTTCATTAATAGAGAACAGAAAACATGTTTTAACATTGAATTAACTTCGAGTGAGTTAAGTCTGGTTGTTTCTTCCCAGTTATATCTAATGATTCACCGGAAGAGAAGGAAGACAAAGACTACATGCTCGCCGCACCCCTAAAAACTGGATGTGACAATGTGTAGCGAGGGGATGAGGCCCCTGTTGACACGATGCCTTCTTCAGTCAGTTGACAAATACTAGGACGAGTACCCACAACAAACAAACTATTAATCATTAGCTCTCTCAAGATAGAATGAGATTCTGTGGTGCAATTTCTCCTGAACCCCTCTTTTTTGCTCTCCCCGTACCTTATTTACTAAGGCTGAAAACGTTGCCATGGGAACACGCTACCAGGCAACCTCAGCCACTTGGCATGATGCCCGATGGTTGCTAGGGCACTGTTGTTAATGGCTATTGGGTATTGTCGGCCAGTATGTGTGTGTGTGTGTGTGTGTGTGTGTGTGCATGATGTCTTGTACATATGAGTAGGAGATGGGAAAGTGTATGAAAGAAAGAATTGGGAGAAAGCACTGCTAATCAGGCAAGAGAGCCATTTATGATTTTGTTAAATTAAATACATAATGGCTTTCTGATTTGGTCTCCTTTCATCCGGTTGGTGCACATCATTGCACAACAGTCAAGAACTAGTCTGTCTATAGTGGCTGAAGTATCACAATGTTGCATCTAAATGCAAGAAGCTTGTGTTTTATGATCAGAGATAAATTAGAGAGACAGGCAGAGACAATGAAGAGACTGTCAGAGAAGAGAAAGAGGCTCAGCGACATGGAAATTCAAGCGTCTCTCTGTATACTTGCAGCTGACACTCACCATCTTTAGCTGTGATCTCTCAAGCTGTTTGCTCTCTCTTGCATTTCAGGCAGATTCAAAGAGTCTTTGTTGCTATAAAAGGGAAGAAACAGATGTTGCTAAAGCATTTACCTCACGCCCAAGATCTAGTCTGAGGTTTTCCCATGGCTCTCCTCTCACTGGGGAGCTTCTATGGTTGACCACGGCATTCCTGAAACCACAGAGCACCGTGCAGATCATTAGCATACCAAGGATAGGACGCGGAACATCAATAAACACGTTGAGCCATGAAGTTCGGATGAGTAAATAAGTAAAGTCAACCACACAGACACAACCGTTCAGCAAAAAAATACCCCGGACCGAAGTATGAGAGAATACAAAGAGATAATTAAACCATAATGGACCAAATCCCTGATTAGAGATGAGGCACTCGGCAGCAAAAAGAAATTAATTTAACAGAAGCCTGCATTTATGATGGGCAAAGCATCAAACGTTGTGTGCAGAGTATAACATGGATGGAACAAAGTGTGAGATAATGGTGAGATTGAATACTGTGCAATGAACAATGCATGAATGAGTGGATGGTGCAAAAATACATATAAAGCCGAAACGGTTAAAGTCAACGGGGATGAATAATACATTAATGATGCTGGAAAACGCAGTTCGACATCATAAATTAAACAGCAGCGAGCCAAATAAATGCACTCATTGTGACATTGCAACACAATGAAGACAACAGAGACGCAGGGCTTTTGTGTTGGTGTACGCTCATTAATCCCCACGTGCACATGTACGTATGGGCCTCTGTGTTCCTGTCTGCACGCACTTATTGTTGCCTGTGGTGCATCCTATCTAATTTTATCGAGAGGAGACAGCATCTCTGCCTTGCCAGCCCCCACCACCCCCCCTCGCCCTTCCCCCCTCCTCTCCCGGGCCTTTGAACTCAATCCGCTGCTGGAGATGTAGCCTGACTGAGCACAGCATGTCCTGAAAGGAGGTCAGAGGGCAGGAGAAAACGTCTGGTGTCATGGCAACTTGATGCCACCAAAGCAAACATTTTAGCGGCTGGAGGAGGGCTTAGTGAAGAGAGAGCATTACTGAATTAAACATTAAAGCTAAAAGACAAAGCTGGTGATGTTCTTTACTTTTGTCATTATTTATTTATTAATAACTTCCCATGAAACTAGTGCAATAAAACCAACTGTGAATTGACCTTAGTGACACCTGAAGAACTGTAGTTTATTTTGAGTGACCCTCAAATACGATGTCATGCCCATGATAACAATTATGATCTCTGGGCATTTATATAATATAGTATATCGCATTCTTAAGTTCATCCCTATTCCTTATGATCCAGTGCAGTGTGGAAAACCCATCAGTGAACATAGTTTAGCCTTAAACTTGATGGATTCAATTTGCTAATTTAATTGTGAAAAATAATGCACAATTGCTGCCACAAATGACGCATTGGCCCACATACCTCTCTGAAGAACTGCCATTTGTTGTGCTAATATTTCGGAGAACAATTGAAAAAGCCTGAGAAATAATCTGCAGCAGTAATTGTGTCGTCTGCCTCAGACTGTCTGCGTTTTTTCATCTTACTCCTGAGGTGTGGGATCAATATGGCATCCAGGGTCCTTTGTACGCCATTAGTTTGTCTGCTGCCGAAACGGGGACCTCTGCAAGCTTTTGTGTTTGAAGAGTGTGCGATCACGGGTGTGTCTGTCTGCCGTGTGTGTGTTCGTGGGCATATTAACCTTCAAATCATGTTTTTCTTCAAATAACGGGTTGGTAAATGAGCATTTTTCTGTAAATGTGTGCACATGTCAGACTTGTTCAAGGCGCGCACATGTGCTGCATCTGCATGGGCGCGTGTGGGAGGCTTGTGTGCGCATAGCCTGTGTGTCCTCGTGCTTGTTCAATGCGGCAGAGGGTGGAGTGACGGATCAATAGGAAACAAATGAATTCAGATCAATATTAAATCAGGGAGTGAAGGAGAGCGGAGAGACGAGTGGGGTGATGCACCACCGAGGAGGAGAAGGGGGAGGAGATGGGGGAGGGGTGGAGAGGTGATGCGTTGCCAGCAGCACAGCGACTAACTGTACACTTGGGAAAAACACTCATTTCAACAACGCAAACCTGAGTGATTTGAGATCATAGAGTGTTAAAACGGATGGTTAAGTGAGGAGGAGAGAAGACGATGCACCGAAGACGGGCCTGCGATTCCCACATCACAGCTGGCGCTAACTGAGACTGGACGGTCTGGTTAAAAAAGTTACATATTTGTTCTCTTTGTTGTATTTTTATAATATGAAAAGCCTTTTAAATGGTGTTCAAAGAATGATTCCTGAATAAAAAGATGAACCTCTTTGTATAACTTTACTAATTCCCATTTTCCATCCACGCTTTCAAATATTTTCCAGTTTGTGATGCTTTATGGCGCTCACAACAATCAGCATTTTTCTAGTACGAGAGCATTTTAACACAAGACTTTGTAAAGTAAAGTGTTTAATTGTTAGAATCACTGAGCTGAGAGAGAGTTGCGGCTGTGAATAAACAAACCGTGATCAGTTTCTGCAGACAGAAAAACCCGCCTCTGTCTGCACAATCAGCTCTGAGCCTTTCAATATTCCTAACGTCAGGCCAGCCAGGATCTCATTGTGACCTTTCCACTTAAACCCCCAGTTGAAGCTTGACATTCACAGGCCAACCTGTAAGGACTAGTCAGCTGGGAGTGGGCTAGACGTTCCATTGCTTCACTGCCAGGTTTGGAAAATACAAAATCAGCGTCTACGTTGTTGTTTTAAGGGATACAATCATCAATTAATCAATTTCGTTTTGTCAATATGTCACAGAACAACCTATAATAATTTATATGAGCTGAAAGTGATGTCCTCTAAGTGTTTTCGCCCAACTTTAGTCTAAAATCCAAAGATATTTAATGTAAAGGCTGAAAAGTGTAACATTTGAGACGCTTGAATGTGTTGCATCTTGCTTGAAAAATTACAACAAAATATCATTGAAGATTTTTGTAGCTGCAAATAGTTCCATTAGACCATTCACTGAACTCATTAATCAACTAATTATTTTAGTTCTAAATGTTAATATTTAGTTCTAATTGTTGTGTTTTTGTCTACAACAGATGTAGGAAAAGATTGACTGTCAAAGTTGCTGGATTGAAGCCATATTCCTGTCCAGTGCTGGGAAGGTCCTCAGTATGATACACCGGTCAGCTTCAGTGGTCTGGACTGTGATTAAGAAATGCCTAGACATTGGATTGAGTTTCAAATTTCTATTGTTGAGAATGTTATTTTGAGCTGAGCAATACATTAGGCGATGGATTACAGCAGTATCAATATCCGCATCGCAGACTTTGACCTTTATGAAATCTGGAGTCTCCCCCTCTGGCAGTGAGTGTTATTACACAACAGTATTTGTGACGAAGGCATCTAGTCGGTCTCTCCGCATCTCCTCGCCCCCAGGAGCGTTTGTCCTCACTCTCAATCTCTTTTTGTATTCGGCTTTCTGTATCGGCTCCAGGAACGTTTCTTGGAAGTCTTTGTCTTAGTCCCAGCTGGTGCTCCATCACTATGGTCTCTCATGGTGAGTTCATTTATTCCGGCCCAGCCTGAAGTATATGTGCATATCAATTACATATACTAATATTTTAATTAATGATCTATCATCCATTATCTCTGATCAGCAGTTGTAATTGGTGAGCGATAGATCAGAGGAGAGCTGATGTCATTTTTCTTCCTTTCTTGCGTTTACCATCGCTTTGAAAGGACAAACAGGATTGCTGGGCTGTAAGTATCTGCTCAGGAATGAGATCAAAGCATCAAGAGCCACTGGGGAGTCGGAACTGAATGAGGGTTTAAAGTGATAGTGGCGAAAAACAAACACATGACATGGATGCTGAGTGCTTCCTAACAGGCACTCTCCACTTCAAGCACAAGGTTCCTCGGCTCTTGAGATGGATTTCAATGACAAATTCCTCAGTTAACTTTAAGTGCAGTATCTCTGAAGGTAAATGATCTATAGTAAGCAGTATTGTTTAATTTAAAAGATGTCCTTAGCAATGCATTGCAGGAATTCACTATTTGGCCTTGAAAGAGAAGTGCTCTATGAATGGCAGCGGGACACTGAATGGTAAACAGATGTTGTGTTTTTTTTATTTATTTGCGCACTTTAATTATGCATACACATGTGAAGAGAATCACGTTACGCACAACAGGCACTCCCACATGACCATGTTAACAATAATCTGATTTAAGTTTAATCTAATAGTGAACAGAATGTGTGAACAGTTCAGCTATTTTTCACTATTTTATTTGGGAAATTGGCAGCACAAATAATGCGCACGCGCATTTTTTAATCAATATGTATCAAAGCAACAATTTCTCTATTTGCAAGGTTCTAGATCACACATCGCATGGTTTTGCTACATGAATGAACAAATAAATAAACATAAATGTTACCATCACTTCATATGACTCATCATAAATGGCACATTCTGTAGCAGCCGATGGAGCCACTGGAGCAAAGAAGGGACCGACTGCAGAGACAGGAGACGCAGCCGAGGACTAAACTCTGAGTCAAACCATCAGACCTGATCATTTCAAGACGCAGACAATCACGGCTACTCATTTCACCCTTTGCCAAATTTACACTCCGATTTTCTACTTATCCAAATTTGCAATATGCAATATGCAAAAGAGGATTGCATTGATTTAAAAAAATAACATTTCCTCTACAAAGGAGACTTATCTGCAACTGTGGCGAGTGACCTGAAATGCAGCAGCCTACATTTAAACTTTAAATTAAGACAGTATAATTCCTCAAATTGCATGAACCGGAATTAGCAGATATGCTGCATTTTTATGTGATAAAGGGCATAATTTCTAGATTGGTAATCTGAGTAGTTGTCCGTATCATCACCTTTTTTCTCTCTTCCTTTTCTTTGATAGAGGAAGTGAAACTGACAGAGAGACAGGCAGAAAGAAATAGTGAGATGGTCCTGAGGCAGTGATGTAGAACATCACCATCAACCAGACAGTCTGCTGAAAAAAAACAAAAGAATGGAGAGCCAAACTCTCAGCTTTACTCCCCCTCTCCTCTTTAGATCTGAACGACTCTGCTCCTCTCTTTCTCTCTCCCTCTCTGTCTCCCCATGTCTCTTTGTGTGTCTCTCTCTCTCACTCTCTCTCCGTCCCCCTGAGCTGTGTGCCCGTGTGCCCCATCCCCGCCTCCCTCCATCTCCCTGCCTCTAATGTGCTTTGGCGTGTGTTACCCACGGGTGCTTGCACGCTGCGGCCGGCTTCCTAAAGCCGGGTCACGGGGGGGCAGCTGAAGCGGCGCGATGCCGCCTGTGACATCATCAGTCACCGCTGTTACTCACGTCTCGCCGCCCCTCGCTGTCTGTAACGGCCGCGGCTTCAGGTGCTGGATAGCGGGCAGAGCGGACACACGCGGAGTCACACACATGGTGTCAGAGAGTGATAGAAAAAGCCTTTGGAGAGCTTTATCTGAGAGTTGTTACCTAAAATAGTTAAATTATTTTAGTGCGGCATTCATTTCGTTACAAGCTATAACTGTCATTATTTCTGACATGTTGATTATCTTTTAGGGAACTAAACTCTTTGCTTAATAATTCAGTTGGAACCTTAAATGGACTTCAAGACGAGCATCAAATTACAGCTAATAACATGACAGGATGGCTACTATGGTCCGGTGTCAATCATAGAGAAGTGTGTTATACCTTTAAATATATATACGCAAATTATGCCTGCAATTTATGATCATTGTCATTGATTATAATTTGTTTTCAATTCATTCACAGATTAGCCAATAAAAGGTCCATCTTTGGACTAAGGAATCCATAATTAATCATTTTTGCTTCAAAGATTAATCATTTTCTTGTGTATTCTTTAGTATCTTTAAATTCCATTAGTTTTGACCTAAATTGCCTACAGAATGAGGAGGACAGAACAGTCAATGATTCAGCATGATAGAATAGTTCAGATCGGAAAAGCATACAATAGAAAAAACGTCACTTGTTTCACCGTAAAGTGGAGAAGAAAAAAATATCATAAAACATTTCCAGCTGGACTTCATAAGTGTGTGTGTGTGGAGTGCAGACGAACAAGGGAACCTCCAGATGTGGCTGCACATACACCTCTGCAGGGGGTGGAATGCTGCGCACGCTTCCCATACGTGTAGAAGGGAGAAACGTGCTTCCATTCAGTGAGCATGTGTGCAAAGGTTCAGACTGTGTCAAATCAACACATCTGCCAGCAGCGGAAACACTCCTGCGCTTGGGGGTCTGTCTGTCACCCCTGCTGTCAGCCAATGAAAAGGTGAGGGTCCGCAAACTCCTTCACTCAGGGATACGGGTAGCTGGTATGAAAGCCCGCGGCCTGTATGTGGCAGCCTATATAAATCATACGCGACCAGCGCCACCAGGCACCGCATGCACACAAGCATATAAACAATATATACGTCCACTTATTTTCCTCCCTAGTCCGCAAAGACCTCTCAAACGGAACTGCAGGACTGAACTCAACGTACCACAGGAAAAGACGACGTAGGAAATTGAAGGGGGCCTGAAGGCATTAATGTTTCAAGATGAAAAACAAGCAAAGTGCAGGGAGACAAATAAAAGACAAAAAAAAAGAGCGGGGAAAAAAAACACATGCGGCAAAGTATGACGCTGTGACTGAAGGACAGATTAACAAAAAGAGTCGCCAGAGAGAGACAGAGACAAACAAAGAGCAGGCAGGAGGAACAAAAGATGAGAGTGTGTAAAGGAAGAGAGGGGACGGCGAGGAAGAAGGACAGATTATGAGCGAGACAAGACACAAACGGCGAGAGAAAGATTGGGCAGGCGCGGTTAGATAAAGACGTAGGAGGGCAGCGCGCGCGTTAAAGTAGGCGACGGGCTCGTCGGTGCAGTGACCTAGTCGCGCAACACTGAGGAATTCTCCCCGTCGACACGAACGCATTCCTCCGGGTCCCCAGACGTTAACCCATGAGACGCCACCACACTGTACTGCAGGAGCCCCGGCGCGGATTCTCATCACGTCGTCAACATCCTCAGACGCTACAAAGCATTGCAGATTATTAACGGAGCGATTTCAGAGTGCAAACTGCATGAATAAGAAATTTCAGGTAAAGCGCACGGCTCGACCAGCTTTAGTCTGTGTGTGTGTGTGTGTGTGTGTAGAAACATCAGGCCAAGAAGGGCTCTATTGTGTTGCGGAGGCAGAATGTAGCCCTTATTCTCCTGCTGCTGGACCGGGGGCATCGGGGGGACATCAGCACAAAAGGCAAAAATGTAATGTGAGGCATCTCCAAAGCCGGCTCCTAGGTTGGACCACAGACCGGCCTTTATGCGCACACTCTCTCCCTGTTCAGCAACATCTGATAATCGGGACGTGACCAGCGGATGACCCTTCGACTTGTTGCTTTACTAAGATAAGTCACAGCCAACAGTGCTGCAGCAAACTGACACCGATAGCCGCGGCAGCAAAAATAAAGATTGTTTGCGGGCGGCTTTCACGTACAGGCCCACAGTTAGTGCACATCTGTGAGCTTAATCACGACAGAATGACTCAGGAAAGAGAAATTCAATTATTCTGATGGCGCATCGACGTTTCGATCGGGCCACAGACTAAAATGGCTGACCGAGTGTTCCTGACTGCTGAGTGCCATTAAGCTCTGGTCAGCAAAGCACTTATTTTGACTCTATCGTTACATTAAAAAAACAACACAGGATGAGGTGCTTACTCTGGTCCCCTGTTGAATTAAATAAAGGTAAAGCTTTTCTTACCTGATAAAAAACGTCTTCTCTCAGAACCTCAACCTGAAAAACACACACACACACACACACATTATTCGCATTTGAATTATTCTGTAAAACAGGATTTAAAGCAACTGACTGTAATAGCAGCTGAGAAAACAACAATTCAGCAGCGCAAGTGTAAACCTGCTACTACGCAGTGACAGCTTGCATGGGAATTCCTGAGGTCTGTTCGATCCGTTAATGTATGCTGCGGTTGAATGTCATCAATTATGAACGAGGAACATTAGAGATTCACAGAGAGCTGGTGGAGACTCGCAGCTTGTGGCTGTTAGACTGTAGTACCTTGAATGTGTGTAACAGGATACGTGGGTTATATTGGGCAATCGGATACGCTACTTCTGGGCACGCTATCTTTAAAAGTAGAGTATTTCTCAAGTGAAACAATAATCAAATTAGAGGAAGATTATTTTGGTTAAATCAAGGACAGAACGAGTTCAGTCAAATTACACAGAAATGTATACGACGTTTGTAAATGAGGCAAGCTGCAGCGAAGCGATCCTTCTGTAGGTGGAGTCTATTTCCTCAGCCTTTAGGTGTCAGGCACCCGAGTCCTTACGTGTGAATACTGCAGTATCTTTGCGGCCTGGGCCTCTTCCCCTTTAAGGCAAAGAGTGTGTTGACCCCGACAGCGAGTTCATACCATAAGCAGACCCATATAGCTCCTCCGCCGGAGCCTCTGATCACAGCCCCGCTGAGCTGCGGCCTCAGTTATGTAAGATTACATAATACCAGGTCTGTCTGGGTAATATTTCATGACCTCCGGGCCCTACTGCGCTGGCATTAACAATGAATCCATGAGCGCTAGGCAGGTTTGACTACATGAAAGTTAAAAGTTTAAAAACAAATCGGATCAAGTCGACGGCGCCGGGGGGGATTTATCTCTCCCGTCCTTCTCCTGTTGTACGTTTTAAGTTTGGTCCACCTCCGCAGCCCCTAAATGTTGAAATCAAAGATCATTCCTTTCATTTACTTGAGAGCTATAGTGGAGGTCGAGGAAAGGTCGAGGCCGGACGCCACTAAACAAAAGCGTTGCCCGCTTTGGTGCAGTGATTCCGTCTGCCCGTAAAGCCCGTATGATTGTGTGGTAATCAAATCATTGCAGACAAACTCATTCAGGCACACGCTTAGACAGGGAATATTATTAGAGAACTAGGCCAGTAACTGTTATATAACGGCTTTGGCTCTACAATTAACAACTTCTTTAACCATAACTGCAGAAGGTTTTTTTTTTTTTTTTAATTACTGCGCTGTTTTAATCAAAACGTTCCCGATAACCATGTCAGCGCAGAATTTTAATAACTTTGCTTTATTCAGAAACAAATGCTAGACAACATATATTTACACCAGAGAAAAAAAGAAAAAGAAATGCACAAAAAAAATCAAAAGCTGTTTCAGTAACACACGCTAACAAATTAAATAAAACGTTGGACTTGGAACAATATCCATTAATCGTTGTGATTCAGATAATATATGACAAGTAATAGAGGAAATGTGGGGATAGATAACAGAAGGTTATGGAAATGAAAAAACGGCAGGCAGATATAAAACACACGACAGGGAAAAAAGGAAAAGAACAGAGATGCCGGGAGATATCGGAGGCCGATACAGCGGGAGAAAGGGAATATCGGATGGACGAGAGCAGACTTCGTGATCCGTCGTGTGCCATCGTCTACTCTTCAGGCTCATTCTACGCACAGAACACCGAAGCATTCGTGTAATCCACTACTGACGAAACCTTTACGTGCAGGGATTTGCACCAACCAAGTAACTTCCCAACATCAAGCAAAAGTAATCCCGCCCAAATGCGCAGGTTATGGAAATGAAGAAACTTGTTGAAAAGAACTCCGCCGTGTTAGTATCTCTCGTTAATAGCGAACCACGTCTTGGACTGTCTTGTCTTTACAGACGAACCGACAGACAGGTTTGGGATACCCGGATGAACGGATGGGAGAAGCATGGGAGGAGTGAGATACGCAAGCAGAGAAGAAATCCTGCAGTATTTTCGCCTCATTCTAACCAATCCCCTCTAATTTTTGATGCCCTTTATGACAAAACAACACCGCACGAGCAGGAGCGACCGTCCGCCGCTGCAGTCCCACGCCAACACGCTAACACGGATACACACATGACAAATACACAGGCGGATGCACACACACAGAGAGGCGACACAGCCTGCCTCCTTCATGTCGCTAGCCTCCCGTGCATGGGCCCCTTAAAACGAGGTGCACCCGGCGATCCCTTTGCAAAGCCCTCATCCGAATGTGAGCAGAGGTAATCCCTCCAGGAGAGGCAAAGAGAACGGTGATAACACAAGATAAAGAGTGGCGGAAGGAGGGAAAAAGGGAAAGACGGAGAAAGAGGTCAAGCAAGAGATGGGAAAGATTAGCAGGGTGAGGGGATTAGCAACAGAGGGAGGGGGGAAAAGTAAAATAAAGTGTGGTAAAGGCGGGTGAGAGGAGAATGGTTCAAAGGATATTACCAAAAAGGCACATATGATGCATGTGTGGGAAATCAAAAAAGGGCATGTGCATGCAGTATACTCACAGAGGAATGAGAGGGTGATCGGAGAAGTGATGAAAAATCATGTCAAGGAGCCAGAAAAAAAAATATACGACCGCAAAGAAATGAAGTCCAGCTTCTTCTCATTCTAGAGTTTTGTTCTTTTCCCTCTTTTTCCCTGCGATTTGGACGATTCCTATCCGGCCGTCCCTCCTTCCAAAGTTTATCCCCTACTGGTCCCCCTTCTCTGCTCTTCCCCCTCCTGTTTTTCTTGCCAGCACCGGCACTCTTTCTCCCACCTCTCTCTCTCTCTCTCTCTTTCTCTCGCAGACCACGCTCTCCATTCTCTCATTCTTTGCCTCTGTCCCCCTTTCTCTGTCCATTCATCTGACACTCTTTTCCTTTTCTTCAGCCCTCATTTCCTGCTTCATAAATGCTTTTTTTGAAAAATAAAAAGAGGGTTTTCTCAACAGAGGTCAAGCTCTGACAAAAAAATTACTGCAAAAGAATAGAAAAAAAACGCTGACGGGAAAGGACAAGCAGTTTGTCATTAGGCGGGGACAATCCATGGCCTGCGTTTTCTCAGGGGCGCCATGCAGGGGAGGGGTGACGGCGCCTCCGAACACGAGGACGCGACCCAGGCAAAGAGTGGCGAGTAAAAGAAAAAAGGAGGAATAAAACCGAGCTTGGAAGTGGATAGAAAGCGCGCGTGAGGGGAAGGAGTGGGAAGGACTCCGGGGTGGGTGTGTATGTGTGTGTGTGTGTGTGTGTGTGTGTGTGTGCAGAGGTGGGAGGAGAGAGAAAGTGAGACGACAGAGAGCGACTGAGAGAGAGAGGAAAAAGAGAGAGAGAGCGAGACTAGGGGGCTCATGGAGAAATATCTAAGAGGGAGGGATGGAGGAGGAGTGTGTCGACGGGGAGAGGAAAGAGGAGGGCGCACGAATAGCAATACATTTTTTCTTTTTTTTTTCATGCTCACGCTATTCAAATTTTGAGCTCTCATTTTTTCACCCCTTTGTTCCAACGCTGATACCTTCTCTGTCTGTGAGGGGGAAACAGCGAGGAAGAAAGAAGAAGAGAAAGAGCTACTGTGTGCTTTGTTTCCTGCCCCTGCCGCTCCCTTTCCTAGTTTCCTTTCTGCTCTGACTACCCCCTATTCAGCCTATTTTCTGCTCGTGCACTTGAACTCTAAATTCTCTCTCTCTCTCTCTCTCTCAGGAAGGAGAGAGCGAGCGGCTAGGAAAAGGAGAGTGCGAGGGGGACAAAAAGGGGAGAGAGATGTTGAGAGGGGGAGGGGAAGAAGCATAGACAGGCTGATATAGAGAGCATAGGGCTGCTCTGCGTGTACACACACACACACACACACACACACACACACACACACACACAGGCTTTAGATGCAGCGTTTCACGCGCTGGTGGTAATCCGCACATCATGTTAGCCTACATACCAGAAAATAAATACATGACTTTTCGGGGTCAAGGGAAGCAATAATTAAAAACGGTGGGATTTTCTGTATTTTCAGCAGTTTATAGTGTCAGACTACACTTCCAACAAAACACTAGGAAAAAAAGCAACGCTTGGAATACACACAAATAAGGAGTATTGCAAATCGATCAATCCAACCATTATTTTCTTAAATAAATCATTAGTCAAAATATTGAACCAATTAATGAAAGCATCTTTTTTCAAGCTACCAGATCACATATGCGATGCAATCAACCTGCTAATATTTTTGAATCGACAATCAAATCCTTAAATAAGTCAATCTTGTCTTACGGTCATGTTTATTTGTAATGTTTGCTTACTTGGTTTCACATAACTTTAAAACTACTGTGCAGTTGACCGTACTGATTTGGTCACATGTCAGAATAAGTAAGAAAACCTTGTGTCTTCCATTATTTCTATATTTTATACTATACATTAGTTACATCTTACATTATGTAAACCTGAGAAGTTTTTTTTAAAATACAGCTAATAAAATCTTAATTTACAGTTATGCTAAAGGACGCCTGAAGATACTGTTGCAGGTCCTGAATGAGGGCTTAAGGTCACTTAAATCTCTCACTAATATGATGTCAGCGATTAAAAGAGCGAGCTGAGAACAAAGGACAAAGCAGGCAGGTCATGAGAGGTGAAGACAGACATTTACTGAAAACATATTCACCTTGGTTCTAAAGCGTTTTCTGTAAGCTGTCATAATTTAGACATAACTTACTACATTTATGCCAGGAATGAGGCCCTTTTAGTAACTTTAGTAACTTTCATAACGCCGTTTCTTCCAAGGCGAGCTGGAAAGCAGAGGCATGAACTACAGTCTGAATCTAAAAAGCAGAATATACTGAATCGATGATGAAAGAAAGCATTTACATTTTTAGGAAAAACATCTTCTCCTATACCTTATCCTTTAAAATGCATATACAATTCACATTTACACGAACCTCTGAATTTCTTTCAAGTCATGAGCACATATTACACACGTACTGCAGTCTGTGCGGCAAATATGATGACCGTAAAGCCCCTGGGTGTTAAAAAGGGGGCGAAAGAAGAAACTAAAAGGTTACCGACCATCCACTGGGGCTCTTCCGCACTAAGTTGCCGTCTGCTCGCCTGCTGACTGCAGCAAAAACTGTTGAAAACACTTGACGTCTGGTAAAATGAAGGGAAAGGGCCTGAGGTGTGAAATAATGCGTCGCAACAGCGCCCTCTGCCGGGGAAGAGCTGAAGCTCACGGCCGTCCGCGGGGCCTCCAGGCCGCGACCCACCGCCTCCCCTCCCCCGCAGCCCCCCTTCAAGTGCATCACTAGCGCGGCTAAACTGGGACTAAACACCATCACAAGCTAGACTAATAAATAACCTCACATTAAATGTATGAATGTGTATTGACGTTACTGGATATCACGCGCGGGATTCGTTGAACTGACGTTAGCTAACGCTAGTTTGTGAGCTAATTGCTACTTCAGCAAGCTAGCAGCTGGTGCTAGCAAAGTGTGCCAAAAGCCCTGCGGTTCGGCTGCCATGAAACAACAATATATTTTTTATTTTATAGATTTAAAGCTCACCCTTTTCTCCAATTTGCAATTATGCCCAGTGTCGCGGGGATGTCAAGATGTCAACCTGCGGGAGTTTGTGGATCCGTCAGCTTTCCTCAAAAAGTAGCAACGGGTCAAAACCAGCGTGAGTGGCTGAGCCGCTTGTCAATCACGGCTGCTTGGGTCCATCGTACTGAAACATTCTAAAGGGTCAAAAGAAAGGTCAACATTTGTTGGGTTCTTTTATTTAGCGATTTAGCAAAACTGGGATAATTGAGATCAATTTTCACTGTGGAGCCAAATACAAATGTTATGCTGGAACAACATCTAAAGAAATCTGAACGGTAAGAGATCAGAGAATTTGTTGAGGGTAACTATACTTCAAATATAGCATTTAAGGATGTACTACATTTTACGCATTAATCCACCAATATAAATAGCAAATATAAAGTGGAGTGAATTAGATACACATAGATATTAGATTAGATTTGAATAGATAGTGGAGACAAACAAATTGAAGAGAAAAGGAATATGCAAAAACTGCACTTGATGGAAGTATTCACTTATTACACTTGACGTATGCACATACTCTGCACTTTTTGCTATTTTGCACTTCTGGTTGGATGTTAAACTGCATTTCATTGCCTCAGTACTTGTACCCTGTGCAATGACAATAAAGTTGAATCTAATCTAATCTAAGTATTTTAGGTCTATGGATAAATAAGTACTCCACTCTTTAGTGCTCTTAATGGTATTTGCCAGATTCAACAACACCAAATAAAAACATCCAATCAGGCATCTCTTGATCCAACTCTTCAAGCTCTCGAACTCCAATCAAACGATCAAATTAGGAAGCGCCGATCAACTATGAATCAAGAATCTGTTAAAGGATCCTTTTTTTAAATTTAATCCAGAGAGAATGAAGAGATACAGTTAAAAGTGAGCAATAAGCCTGAAGTTATGCAAACTTTCGCAATTAGGTGGGAACAAAGCGTGTCACATATTTTCAAATGTCTTTTGAATAAATAAAGAAAGGGTTTAATGTTTCAAATAACATTTAAATAAACACTTTTGAACTTTAGTTCCTGCCTTCACAAACTTTGGTGCTTAATTAACATGTTTCATAAACAATATTTGTTTGTGTTGACAATCAGAGTTAAAGGAGACATTTAGCAGTAACGCTAATTGCGAGAAACAGCATGGAGCTACGAAGCCCTTCTGGCAACAACAGAAGAGTGTGTGTGTGTGTGTGTGTGTGTGTGTGTGTGTGTGTGTGTGTGTGTGTGTGTGTGTGTGTGTGTTCAATTAATCAAATTTGCACCATATGTGGTTTTTAGAAAACTAGTAAGTCATTTGACTGACAACTGGTAATTGATTCTTCGGGTCTTGCGAATTGAATGAAGCCTGCCAGGCACAAGGAGCCGGCTCCCTGCGTGGTCAACTGGTTCTCCAGCAGAGCAGGTTGGTTAGAGTTTCCTGATCATCAATTAATCTACCAGAGATGAAACCATTAATTTATTGATTATTAGTTTACCAAAAAAATGATATAGCGTCTCAAATGTTAGGATTAGCTGAGCTGATTGCAGCCTTAGCTTAGTCATTTTCTATGTTTTTATGATTGTGATTCTGTGTTTTGTGATTGTCAACCCTTTATGTGTCGATATCTCGTGTAGATATTTTTCTAAAACATGGTTCCATGACCCCATCTGACAATTTTTGTTTTTAAACTTCATTTTACAGTAAATTACACAGCTCTATATTAAACAATACCATGATAATATAAAAGCAGTAAAATACTTACTAGGTAAATACTAAATTATGTAAAATGATCCTGATTTTCCTTGACCCAATATGTAGCTTATTGTTCAACTTAAGGAGGCTACTGCTGGTCCTTGAAATCCCATTCATGTCCATGTGGTATACAATTATACAGAAAACCATTGTGTAATTGTTTTTCAGTCCAACCATAAGTGGATTATCTATAATTGATAAATATATTCATGTAATTATATGAACACAACATAAGTGATGTTTTTTAACAGGACTTTTGAATAGATCATTAGCTCTCTTGTGTTCGGTGTCATTTATTGCCATTTGTGAGTATCCACCGTAAAAGTTAATGTCCTCGCAAGGCAAGTAGAGAAAAAAAAGGTAGAAGAAAATGGAAAGCCTTTGCCGTCTCTGTTCCTGCTGCAAATATGGATAGAAGCTTCCGTGTTTGATATGGCTGCTTAGCTACGCCCTCTGCTGCCTCTTCCTTTGTACTCTTTGAGTTTCCCCAGCAAGCAAGAAACAGCAATGTTTACAAAGTGACATCTAAGGAATTCATGCAAAGAATTCCTTATTGCTTATTTACTCAAGTTTGCTTGTCTCCCGTCTCACTCAAGTGCCTGTGGTTACCACGTACGAGAGGTATGTCATGGCAATGCCTCTTTCTATGGTACAATGAGCGGGGATTCAATATTAAAGCTCAAAAACATTTCTGTTCATCTTTCCTTCATTTATTTCTGGGGAATTTTAAGACAGCGGTGGCCGTGTGTCAGTCCAAAATCGATACAGAACCAGTGAAAAATATAAAATCATAAAGCAAGAGCCTGCTGATGTTTTGACAACAGTAAAACGCAATGAAAAAAGACTTAACAAATTCAGAGGATAGATCAAATATTTTTATTCAATTTATCCAATTCATCAGGATGTTATGCCTGAGCAGGTTATTCCTGAGGTGTATATGTATGAATTACTAATTCA